CCCCCTTCACCTGTAACACCCTGGAAAGCCTGGTTTTACATAAAATCACTACACTGTCGCTATTGCGTTTTCACTGCGGTTGTTGTGCTGCGTACCTGTTTTTATTGGTCCAAACTCTGATTCAACCGACCAACCAATCAGCCTCACCAAAACCTGTCAGCGTTAGCATGTAGCAATTTTATGGAAACCAAGCTTAGAGACGAGTATTCATATCTATCACATCCATATCAGAGTCATCGTTTTATACCCATTTTACACTAAGCAAATTTAATTGCGCGAAATGAAAGCATTGTTTCGCAAACCTGAGCCCTGATTGGTCGTGAATTTTTCACTTCGCAAAAAGTAGAAACAGTTCAAACTACTGATTTCACTGAAGCGAAAAACTCCGATAGAAATGTGAATGCATATGAACCAACAATTTTGATTTGCGCGAATAAATTCGCTTAGTGTAAAACCGGCTTTACAGTTAATGCTAAAGAGCCTGCAATGTAAAACCATACGAGATAATATATCAACCACAAAATTCCCTTACCAGAGATGTTAATAGAAAAGTAATTTAATTGCATTAATAACTAATTCTCATTAATCTCATTATTAACAGCTTTAATGAATTACAAATTAATCTCTGGCTGATTCAGTGTTGTAAGTACATGTCATTATTAATCAAAACAATTAACTTTTTAAATGCCATCAATTTGCCCTCAATTGTATGTGTGACTAAACATAATCGACTAAAACATAACCAACAAATTGTTTAAAGCCCCATTGCAACTTTATATTGTGATTCCTATACATAATTATACTGTAGTATGTTCAGACAGATCTTGATGTGCATACAACCCAACCAATCACAGGGTTGAATTCTCAGTATGTTTAAATGCTAAAATAGACAATGCATACTCGTCAAAAATATTCCGTCACCTTGTGGAACCTGCTCTTTAATGGACTTTTCCAGAGCGTCAATGAAACCCAACATTCCGACCAATCGGAATGATTTATTTAATAGGTGGGGCTATGAAATGTGGATATGTTCTGCAAATCTGTATTCGTGAGTTAGTGGCGTAACAAAGAGGTTTGAGGCCCTGACTAGTGCACCTTTCGGGTCTGACTATCATGGGGAAAAGCCTCGTCCGTTTCAGCGTATTTTACTTTTTAAAGAAGTATCTTGATGGGGGGAGGGGTTTTTGTTGCACGTCAGTGCTCCATAAAAAAAAAGCCGCAATCGGCCAATGTCTGGAGTCCCAAGTCTCCCAGAAATCACGATGGCTTCCCGCACTCCGCAAACAAGCAGGAATCTCCCGAAAAATAACCATCTCCCACAAATTCAGAATATTTGCATACTTTCACTGCTTTATTATCAATTGGCTCATGGAAGTCAGTGCTGATGCACAGCAAAATAAAATTTTAAATGTTTCAAGAAAGCTTATTGACCAGATCAGTGGCGGATTCAAGGGGAAGCTGGCCCGGACTTCCTAAATTTTTCAAAATTATAAAAGAAAAATGGAGAAAAAGAAAACCCATATTTAAATATTAAGTCTGAGATTGCTATTACTGGCGTTCTAGAGGTGCTACAATCATTCATTGACAGACCTTCCGTCTGTGACGGTCTCTCCCTGGCCGTCTCTATTTCGAATTCTCGGATCTGCCACTGCAAATCTCCCCGAAATGACTTCTTCCAACTTGACCCCTGCAATGTATGGGGAAAGTTTAATAAACATCTCGGGGCCTGGGTCATAGCCGTTACACCACTGTTGAGAATAAAGCGGCACAATGCTGTGTCGTGGGACCTTCGCAATGTTATCCAGGAACAAGTTTAGTGACAACATCCATATCTTTCTCACCTATATAAACTTCATATATAGTTCTTAAAGATTGGTGGATAATCATATGATGTCTAATATACTATATGTGATAAATTTCAATCGTTGTGAAGAGTGTTCACAAATAATGTTAAATAAACTTGACTCTGCTTTAATTTTTTAATTGCAAAATTGTAATAGCAGTCTAAATCATTGACCAAAATTGTTCATCTGCAGTAAAATTAAAAGAATTGCTTGTCATACTGCCCTCTAATGTGGAATCTTGCATGCTAGACTCTAGTGTAGTTACTGAAATAATATTTTAATTGTAAACAGTCTGGATTTAATTGAATATGAATTCAATTGTTCTTATCAGTGTGAGGCCAGAAGAAAAAAAACATGCCAAAGTTAGTGCTAAATTATTTTGTGGAAGTCCAAGTTCTTTTTAAATGTAGTATATTTGCTACATTGTAATGTATAATGCTATGAATTTTGAAGAAAAATCATGAATGATATGAATTATATCATAAATAATTGAGTAAATTGTGAAGTTTAAAATTAATTTAAGAAATTGTTGGAACTAAGTACATAGATGGAATAGGACACTAGTTAATTTTTTTCAATTGAATGCAGGCGTACGGCAAGATAGGCTCTCCCTTGTTAACATTTTTGAAGGTTTAAAGGTTGCCCAGATCTACAATAATTGTAGCTTAAATTTAGTAGTTGTGATCATTAAAACTTGACAAATGCAGGGGAGATCCACACAGGGTACATTGCCCCAGGGCAGATCTAGGGGAGCAACAGGGTTAAGGCAACCCAAAAAATCAGAGAAAAAAGATAAAAGAGAAAGAAAGAAGATGGGAGCATGGTGCCAAAAACAAGCAATTTTTTATTTAAATTTCATTTTCCAGTGTTATGGTCAAGCATTTATAAACAAAATATCAAACGCCACCATCCACCTCCCCACAACATTGCTTGGTACTTTGTTACATGGCCCCTACCCAGATTTTTTTCTGGATCCACCCCTGTGGCCACTTTTTACCTGCTAAAATTGGAAATTCCTTTACAGAATAAATACAGCGTTGCCCCGATAGGGAAATTTGGCATACCTTGTGCCTCTGGTATTTTTTTTTTAATTTCTGAATCTGCTTAAGCTGATTAGCTAAAAAAGATATTAAATAATTGTGCTACAGATAGCAATACTAACAAAAAAAATACCCTCCCAAATAATTGACATGAATTCAGTGTGAGTTGATTCTATTGAGACAGCTGACATTGTAAATTGATATTAAATTGTTTCCGCAATATAGTTACTTATCAAGCAATTTCCAAGTATCAAGACAGTGACCTTATCATTCCTTTGTATTTGAAAGTACCAATCTAATGAGATCTAAGACAAGAGCTGTCATTCCCCTGTATTTTAGTTTTACTCTTTATTCTTGTACAGTTGAATATTGGAGTAAAGCCTATAATATAGGGACACCTATCTGTCGTCTATCTGTAAAGTTGCAATAAGCTTGAATTTACATGAGGTGGTGATTGTCATCATGTTTTCCCAGTACCTTCAAAGTTGTACTTTTACATTGTTGTACCATCTGCTTCCTTTTTATATATATTTTTTTTCTTTATTACCAAAACCGGGGAGGTGCTTGCTATATAGTACATCCTGTTGGTCATTCCAACACCAAGGAGGTACCATCCTGTTGGTCATTACCAACAACACCAAGGAGGTACCATAACATTGTTCGTTGCTAACATTAAGGTAGTACTATCCTGTTGGTTATTACTAACACTAAGGAGGTACCTTAATATTGGTCATTACTAACACCAAGGAAGTAATTTCTAGTTGGCCATTACCAACACCAAGGTAGTACCATCCTGTTGGTTATTACATCCTGTTGGTTATTACCAACATCAAGGAGGTACTGTCTAGTTGGTCATTACCAACACCAAGGTGGTACCATTCTGTTGGTTATTACCAACACCAAGGATGTCTATAAGTTCTGTTAGTCATTACCAACACCAAGGAGGTACCATCACATTGGTCATCATTGTCAACACCAAATGGTACATGCCTCTTGGTCACCAAGGTGGCACCAACTTGTTAGTAATTACCAACACCGTGGAGGCTCTAACTAGTACCTTCTGTTGATTTTTACCAACAAGGTGGCACTATAATTTTGGTTATTACGAACTCTAACATAGTACCTTCTTGGTGTAAGTATAAGAACGTTTATTTCAGTCTTCAAATTTTATGCAAATGATGGTACTTAGAGGTTCTGTAGTTGCGTTGGGGAGTGATGTCAAAAGATGATACATATCTATAGCATAGCTGCTTTTACTTTTTTTAGTGTAAATTAATGTTTTTAACAATTTTTGGACAATTTTATTCATTAGCCTAAATTGATGACTAAAATTGCAATTTACGAAAGTAAATAAAATGTAAACATTTTCTTTTCAAATGGATTGTGTTCTTGTTTTTCTTAATACTACATTAATTCACATCACATCACATGAATTTCAACACTTACAATTTCCATTCTTAAATATACAAAACACTTTTGTATTTACATAAACCTCATTAATAGTTGGCCAATTGCCTTTATCACAATAAAGCTAAACTAACAAGATTTGTAATGCTATTTTTAATTAAATGGGGAAAAAGAGTATTGGCAATTTTAACAGCCACAATAAGAACAGTAGTACAGCTAGGAGTATTGTTGGAGGGCTGATAAGAAAGCGAGGGGATTTTAAATAGAAACACAATTTGGACCATAATAAGCCATAAAAGCTCTACTTTGAACATACCAATCTCTGGATTGTAGTTCCTTTATTGTAGACTTAAAGCATAATTTTTACCATTAAATTCCTTTCAAGGTGTTTAATCAGACCAGATCCCCTTGGCAGTACAGTACTTTTGTTCAGATTCCTAGTGGACTACAGTAGTTAAACCCAGTGATGACAAATTTCTGGATCCATCACTGATGTTTTTTTTTTATCTGAGCAAGTGCATTTGAAGTGGCAAGGTCTGAAGTCAATACTGCAATTATCCAACTTAAACAATGGAGCTTCAACTCGAAATTGGTGTTTTTTTTTTTCATTCTGATCTAATTGCGAGTGACTCACCGCTAACAGGATGGAAGTGATACTCTATAAACTAAACTACTGTCCTCACTATGACAGGTACCTGTGATTTGCCCTTATATGGGTGTGATATGACATCATCATGTTCTTATATGGATGTAATATGACATCATGTCCATATACCTTATTCACTTTCACTTTTATTGCATCAAACTTGTCAATAAACAATACAGTTCACACACACAAAAAAAAACTAAGGCCACAAACTTGAATACAGTATATTGGGCAAATCACAAATAATGTGATGTGTCGACAAGGTATTTTGAGGGCTACAGCGGAGGTTGTTTTTAGTCCTGAGGTAAAAAAATCTTGCTTGGATTGGAACATAGATTAAAATCCTTGGATTAGAAATAAATAATTATCTTAACCAACAAACTCACAAATAAAAAAAAACCCAAAAAAATATTGAGTATATAATAAATATTTATTTATTTTGCTTATCATAATGCATATAAAATGTCAGTGCCTAAATAAATTCATTGCACTGAACAAAGCATTTTGAATGAGATTGGGATGAGTTTGGCCATACCACAGTTAAATATATTATGAGGGTCCACTTGTCCATTCAATAATACATTTTTAAACAGCAACCCTCCTTAATAATGCAGTTAATAAACAGCATAGAGGCACTTTTTACAAGTACCCACTTGTTCTTGGGTGGAAAGAGATACAACCATTGCTCAGATTGAGGTTTGAACCACCAACTTCAAGGTTGAAAACCACAACCACAGAAACAATGTTTTTTTTAGAAAATGCTGATATCTTCGCTAAGAATATTTGATTAAGAAATAACATGATGTTCAATGACGGCACCCTCTTATGACACATATTGTGGGAAACTTTGGGATGTTATGAAACTAGGTTTTGTACAAGAACTCTGTCGTCCAGTATGCTGTCCTCATGGGGGATATCCTCGGCTAGGACAATCGTACTCCCTTTGTTGACATCACTGTCATCATCATCCTCTAACGCACAGAGTAGCGTGTCATTCTCGTATGTCGGAAAGAAGTACCTGCAAATGACAGACAATATGTACCATAAATATAAATAATAATAATAATAATGTTTGACATTGATGATAATGGTGATTATATTAATAATGACTAACAATTGTATATGTTAGGGACTTGTATCTTTTCTTATAGCACTTCAAAAATTGCATTGAGCCCTGCAGGCCTCAGACAATTTTTTCAGGAAATAATGATTCCTTCAGCTTCTATTTCCTATAAAACCCGACTATAATTGCTTATTATTGCATTAGTTACTGGCTGTGATGCAGAATATATTGAATTATATGTTGAAGCCCATAACACTTACTGTGGCTGGTCCCATACTTTTCTGTCGGGCATCTTAGATATGTGTTGTTCTTTTGTCATATGTTCATAGAGTTCGTCTTTTGAAGGGTACTTTTCTTGGCAACTAAAGCACTTATTTTGATGGATTTCACGACGGATGAAGTTTATTAACTTTATTTGCTGGTAAAAATTTAAACCTATAAATAGAACCAAAAATAAAGGCAATACATTATTTTGAACACTTTCTCTAATCAATCATTATCAACATGATTATCATAATCCCAATACTTTTCATCACAATTATCTAATAAATATAACAAACTCTTGCTTATCCTAAGTAGCATTATCACTGCAAAAGCATTGTTTTTTATTTAAGACCCAGCACATAAATACAAAATAACAATAGAGTACAGTACATTATTTATATAATTATAAAAAGCAATCGGGTGTCAAAACAGTATACAAAATTCTGCATAAAATAGAAACAACAGAAAAAAAGCCTCAATAATATACAAACAATTATACTAACAGTAGTAATAATAAAAATAAAACTGCAGTATTACAAATGTATATCAGGTGTGTTTCCCAAATTATTACTAAATGATTAAGAATAAAAATATACTGTAACAGGCAAGGCATAAAGCCAGGCTGTGGAGGAAAAAAAATTTGTTTTATATGTTGCAAAAAACTGGGTTTTTTTTAAGACACAAAAAGCTTACTTGGCTCGGGAACGGTTAGTAAGATACAGATCTTCGAATATTTAACAACTGGGGGGGGGGGAGTGGAAAAAAGGGTGGCTACATCCCTTTTCTCCTAGTTTTTATGCTTAGATTTTTATTCTGGAGTCTGGATTAACAATTAATTCAAGAAATATAATGGTTGCACACTAAGTATTAGCTGGTCAATTATATTTATTCAAGGCAGTTAAAGATATATGGCTTTAATTCGATATTTCCTGCTGATCACTAATTCAAACCAGGCTTGAATTTCACCGCTAACGGGCTAGAAACCCAAGAATCGTCAAAACGCTTTGGAACAAGATTTATTTCGGCCATCAAAACTTATCCAGTAATCCATTTGCCGTCTTCAAATTCTGTCTTAATGCAACTGATGTAAAGGTCATTCAAGATGGTCATATATACCTAATGTTTTCTTGATTACACAGAGATCAAAATTATGAGTTTCTGTCAGGTGATTTAACATAATCGGCATTTCAGATGAGTTGTGGGAGCAAAACAAACAGACAATATTGGCAGTTGTATCCTCATTCCAATCTGCCCAGTTGCTGATGAGAAAATAAAATGTTGATTTAGTTTAGCTTATTTTTGGTCAGGTGATTATTTAATTAGAATTGAAATTTTTTATTTTGTGTACATATGTGGATTAGAAATATTTTAAGTAAGAAACAATTATTCATATTACAGTAGAAACCCCCTCCTTTGTGAAACCCCTATCTAGGAGACATTTTTTTGGCCGTGAGTTCATTTAACACTACGGCCAACCCCTATTCAGGGGACACCCCTATTATGGGGACACTTTTTTGGTCCCAAAAGTGTCCTCTTAATAGGAGTTCAACTGTATTTTGATCCATCCATCTCGTTGAAAACTGTGGGTTGGAATAGACACACTGAAGTTTTATGTAGTAATAATTATAATAATAATAATGGCATCTTGTAAGGTGCATGTATCCATCTCACAGAGCTGCTCTCTACGCTTTTCCACTTGCAAAGAGCAACAGCCTATTCTGCATTTCATTTATTATATTTATAAAGGTTACTTCATTTTATATTAATTTTCTTTTCTTTTTTTTTTTTCGTTTAAATAATACCTAAATGTACATTCATTAGTGTAGTGTCATGTAGTGTTTATTTAATGAGTATATTTACATCCCTCATCTTTTGGGACTTTCCCGCTACACATTTACATGGTTTTTGAACACGCATAAAAGAAACAATGAAAATAGGACTAAAAATAAAACTACAATAAAACTATACTTACACATTTAAACGTTAAATATATTTACCAAAATATATATATATATTTGTTTAAGGTTGTAATAATATTCTAAAACATAGTGTACTGGAAGTCTGCATGAGCATCCACTTTTTTATGTCTCACGCCTACTTTGTATTATCTCACGCACCATAAAAATGTTTAGAATAAAATCAATTTTATAGGCCGATTATACCCATAAAAATGAAGTAAATTCATCATTAAAATGTTAATACTTAGATTACATTTTGTAATAATTACATAGAGGATGCTATATTAGGTAATTAAAACTAACATAGAGGGCACTTTATTTTATGAGGGAGCTATACTGAGTGAGTGAATGAAAGGTAGAGGGGGCTATATACATATTATAATTACTAGAAATAACAGTTACTTACTCCGGGTCATCAGACTCTGTCTGTGCTAAATCTCTATCATCTTCTGCCCTCACAGTTTCCCAGTTCTTTCCCATTTCCAAGTAATTGATGATGTAGAATTTATCGTATTCTTTGTTCTTTGGGTTTACCTTCTTGTGTTGTTTTTTTCTCATGTGGTCTTTTAACGTTGTCCAGTCACGGAAGGTTTTCTCACAGTATAAACATTGTAATCTGTAAATAGATAAAAAGAATTAAATTTATTTTCCTAATATTATAAATTATTCCTCTCATTTATAAAAGTGGTGTGTCATAATTGCTATTACAATTATTTACCCCTGTTTTATTATAACTATTGCTGGTTCGAGACCCATTTTGGTAAGGGTTTGGTTGGTAAAATGTAGTCGTTTTGGATGAAGACTTCAACACTATCCAGTTTATAGAGTACTACAGTATTAAGTCACGATACCATGTGATACTACTCTGTTGCTATCGTTGCAAAAAAGCGTTCAACCCGACGCCATTTTCTTCATTGACAAACCATTGATCCAAGTTTCTAACGTAATTATTAAGATGTTGTATCTTACTTTTTTTTGTAAATTTTATTTGATACTAATATAATGCGAGCTTTTGTGTTTTTAGTAGATTTTGATGGTAAAATATTAGATTTTAAAATGCCTATTCCAGAAAGCCTATGAAGTCATTCAGGCGTAATGAACGGTAACCAACGTCTGTTGACAACAGAGAGCGCCACCTGGCGTTGTGACAACACAACTGTGGTACTCTATGCACACTTTAAAGAATTCAATTGCATCTTTTTTAGAAGAGTAGGGATCCACCCCAATACTCTGGTTTATTTCAGCCTCTGTTGTGGTGAAATGATATGAAGATACTAAGCTAATTATTCAAAATATATCTTTAAAATTATATAAAATAGTGAGAAAACCTACTTTTCAAGTTTTTCTTGTAATTTGTCTAGAAATTCATTTACAAAAACTGTAAAAGAAAATATCAAAGTTAAACATGGTTTTTTTAATAACGGACGATGCACCAAAAATAGTATTCATATACCAATAACACAATTCAGATACAGTACTAATAACACCATACACTGTACCAACATACTGAAAACACAATACACATATCATTCATTCATTCTTTATTCAGTCAAACATATACATTTACAAAAACAATGAAAATTGGACAAGCAACATGTCTTACAATATTACCTGAGTTGGCTAGGAATGATAATATTGATGAACACAGCTCAAAAGCCTACCGACCCAGCGACACCATACACATACCAATTACACCATCGCATACCAAAAACAATATACAGTACTTGTACCAACACACACCATACATATAGCAACACCACCATACACATACCAATAACACCATACACATACCAATAACACCATACCACATACCAATAACACGAGTAAACTTACCGATAACAACATACACATTCCAAAAACACCAGTGTACATACCACTACCAATAACACCAATACATACAGTAAACACAACCTACAACCAACTCCCTGCTACAACACAACAAACCTTTGGTAGCAATAGCATACTGTCTTCAAAGTGTCACAAAATGGCAAATAAAGCTAAATGCTTACCAAGATTATCTGATCTTCCGATCGCAAAACTATGATCATGAGACAAATGGTCTAAGAGCATTGATCTGTTTCCTTCAAACTTGTCACGACAGAAGAGGCAGCGTCGTTTGAAGGTTACATCATCTCGCTCCTTTTGAAGCTGGTGCAGTATAAAGTCAAGCCGTTTGCGTTGCAGGTACTCTCGCAACTCCTTGTCTTCCGTTAGTGTGTCCGACAACAGGTAGAAGTCTTCTTGTTCACCTAATGAATATCAATTACAAAAAAATATTATACATTTGAGTACCATGTAAGAAAATGGGAATGGTAACTTAAAACATTCATTCTGAATAATACCCTGTATTGTTTAGCCTTCCAGCTATTATATTCCATGAACATGGGACCCAAGGATCATGGTACATGCATACATACAGTGGTGAATTTAGAATGGCAAAGCTGTCCAATAAAGTACTAAAGTCAACCTGCTCCTCCCCTTCCCCCACCACAGCTACTGCACAACCACAATTGATCCAACTAAGCAATAGGCCTTCTGCTTCTCTCTGATTCTTTTCCAAGAGCTTCTTGGAGCTATCTTGAGCACCTTTTTCAAGGGTTGTGTAAGGTAAAACAAACCTGTGTCACCTGGAGACAAGTTACTGTTGGTAACTGTTTAAACTTACCTGGATCTTCTGGTTTGCAGTTAGTTCTGATGACAGAGCAAAATTCTTTAATTGGTTGTTGGGAAAAACGCACCTGCCAATACCTGATATAACTACAAAATGAAAGATAACAACAGAATAATTAACAATAGGATAGGATAGAAGGACTAGAGGGTGTTTTGGTGTGAAACACACAACAGATAACACACTGAGTAGTATGAAGAGTCAGTAGAGTCCTGGTGGTGATTGGGCAGTACACCTACAGACAAACCCCTAGTGCATTCTGTAACATACACATGGGTCATATAGCACACGGGACCAACGGCTTAAACGTCCCACCTGAAAGACATGTGCTATTGTAACTTGTATTTCAGCCTGTCTGCAGAAACACAAGGTGAGTAGCACTTAGAATTTAACCAGGGCACAAAGACCTGAAAGGTTGCTGTGGTTTAGCACACACACTACTTTATAATGACAATAATTAATAACATTAACCATATTAACAAGGAATAACAATAGTACTAATAGAAATATTAAATATTTTAATTATAATCTCTTGCAGGATAAACATAATAATACTGTAATACAGGTAGTAATAATAATGATAAGTTTTTTTAAATACATTGTCCCCATTAGGATCTTACCCGCCAAGGTCGCCAATCAGGTTCACGTCGGCAATAACAAGTTTGTGCTCATCTAACAGGTGCTTCAACAACGGATTCTTATCGTCGTCTATATTGAATGTTAAAGGGCAAAGTAGACAGGTGACAGCACTACGTTGTGAAGAAATTGTTGTTGTATCTGTAGTCTGATGCTCAGGGAGGTTTAGTGTTTCAAGCAGGACATCATCTGTGTTGCTCCGTCCCCCGACTGCCATTGAGGAATTCCTGCAGAACAATACAAACAACAATTGAATAATTTATTCTTGACTTGTATCTGTTGGTGAGCTGGAGGTCTTGTGACCACCTGACAATCAAATAGCAAGCTGGCCTACATCAAAGGTTTGTAACTTAAACAGGATATGATGGCCCACAGAATTGTATCGGATCTTATTTTTCAACTCTTTTAGATTAATTTTTGGACAGTTTTTTTATGACGAGTATAAAATAATCCTGTTTCACCGTCAGAATTCCTACTTTTTTCTGCTCTTTATGGTCTTGCATCTAGCTGGCTAAAAATGGAGCCAAATGAAGGGTTAATCTTCCAAATACTCTAAATGTAATAGTATACATATTTAAAATTGCATTCATTCATACTAACACTTATACTTATATAACACTAACACACGATCCGCAGACGAACATGATTTAAATAAAAATGTATATGATGTGCTGGACATATAGACCTTACTGCACTGTTTTTCAATCGTAATTTGCTATTTAAAGCCTTGTATACGCCAGAATATATGGTAGCCTCAAAATACCTGATCTTGCAAAGCCCATACAGTAGTATAAATTTATTTATTGTACCTTTTTAATATTCGCATGTTAAATTCATATTCATTATTCAAAAGTTTACCCAACTGAAGGATTTTTTTTGGAAAATGATACAAGCAAAATTTATAAAGTAAATAAATACACTAGCTGCATGGAAGGGAATCAGCACTGTCATGTAGGCGAAGGCTAGGGCCTACTACTAGTACCGTACTACTACTACTAGCTAAAGAGACCTTCCGAGTCATTTGTGACCTTGTTGTTCTTTTTGCTAGTCTGACTCAACTGTTGGCCTAGTAGGCCTACACCTACACTACTATGCTTTCTAGCCTACCAATACTATACATGGCCTATTATTGATTAGCTTGGCTTGGTCTACTGCTAGCTACACTACTGTACTGTAGGGGTCTTAATTTCCTAGTTTATGACAATTATTGAAAACAAATTACACGTGACTTCAACAGAATGATTGTCCCGTTGTTTACTTTTTCTAAGTTCACGCAACCTTCTCCATAATACATCGGCTGCTTGTAGTTTTAATCAAAATTCTAAATTAATAATTATTATATTTAATATATAAATCAATATAAATTGTTGTTTGTCATATTAATTATTTCAATTGCTCTAAATATATTTTTATGAAATTGAATATTTTAATAAATACAACATTTCTTATGAATTTATATTTATAAAATAAAATGGATATTCTGATAAACCGTGGATAAACTTTGACCCGTTCGTAGAAGGGTGAGTTTAGTGAGTTCTTTGTCCGATTTTCTTTTAAAATATCACCTTTTTGTTAAGAAATAAATATTTTTTTTAGTGGATAATTATATAAAAAAGCTATTTTTAACATATAAAATAAGTTACTTGTGGTATATTTAAGCAAAAGTTGATGTATTATTAAGGCGTAATGTAGCAGCCGTGTGAAGCGGTTTGTTTACTCCGTACGGTTAGAGGGCCCAGCCCTTTGCCTCCTGCTAGAGATACGCCTTTCTAGCTGGTAGCTAGAGGCCTGGTTGCGCTAGGCCTAGTCGGTGACGTACATGATCCATTTTCGTACTACCATTGAACTGAAATTATGCGGAATATGAATTTCTTGGATGTGTGCTGAATGGTCAAGAAGCTATAATAATAAAATTTTTATTTTTTTTTAGAATTTCAAAATAATATTAATAATTTAAGTTGTAAAACTAAATTATGGATGCCTGGCTGGGGCACTTGATCAGGCTCCTAGAGTAAAATACTTGGGGTCGTAACATAAGATGGGAAGGTTTTGCTGTGTATTGGTGAAATTTGTGCTATTTATGGAAATTTTAAGAAATTTCTTCCTTTTTTTTCTTCTTCAGTTAGTTCATATAATGCAGTGATTGATATTGGAACATATTGAAATTCAAAACCAAACCAGAAAAATGTCCAAAAGACGGCGTTCAACCACTTCTGTTAATGAGGAGATGTCGGAAGTTTCAAATGTAACACCGGTTTCTATAACGATCAAGAAGCGCAAAAGATCGATCCAAACAATGGATGTGGTAAGACATAACATATGAACCCTTAGCAGTTGCCAGGGGAATACATTTATCTGTGCCTGATTGAAATTTGATAACTTTATTTGATTCTCTATATTTTAATTGATTTTTTATGGACCTACTATAGATTCCCTGTTCCTTGGATATTGCTAAGGTCCTTCAAAATGACAGTTAAAAACATACGCAAATGCAAACCTGTGATATTGTGATACAACACGTGTGCATATTCCTTGCCCTATTCTGATTGGTCGGTTGTTAAATTTGATTGGCACTTTGGAAAGGTCCATTATCATGAGATATAAGCTGACTGACAGATTGATTGATTATTATTCAATATTTGATTGATTTATTTGTTTGGTGATTGATTGATTACAGATAGACATATGCCATGAATTGTATGAAACCATCCGGAACCAAAAAGATGAGAATGGAAGACTAGTTTGTGAAGCATTCCACAGAGCCCCAAAGAGGAGGTAATACTTGATCAATTGTTTATGGTTTGCAGTATGCAAGATAGGAAATTGTGATAATTCAACTGATTTATTTTATTCTCATAATTGTATATTGAATGTATATACTGTAATTGAATCCAGTTTCATACATTACAGCCAAAAATCTGTGAAGAAATGTGCAACTTGGCTACATCCTTTTTACCTGTTAACATTCTCAGATCAGGGTTGTAGCTGTAGAAACCTAATGGTGGGTGGTAGACATTTTAAGAGCGAGTGGGTGATAACATTGGTAAAACAAAATAAGAGTAGATTTTATGGATGGGCATGGGGTTAATTTTGGTGAGTGGAGGGCTAAAAAATTAGCTTTAAACTGGGTGAAAAACTTCAAGCCTGGGTGGCCCCGCCCACTTCCGCTTATCATAACTACATCCCTGTCAGATATACATCTTACGATTGGGCAACCTAACAACTTAATATTTAAGTGGTATTACCACATACAGTAGTAATTTGGGTGTGTATGTGTTTATATCTGTTACTAAAATCTTATGTAAACATCCTCAGATCGCTATCTTTTGATTTGTTATACTGTAGGCTTTTAAATGTGTACCGCTGTGATTTGTACACAATAGAATGTAAAAATTGTCTTCTTCTTCCGTTAAGTTGCCGCCTTCATCTTGTTGAAGATTTTGCAACTATCAACAAGGTCATGCGTGTCTGTGTCAATCAAACTATTATAATTATAATGTTGAACCCAAACATATTAGTATTTTCCTGTTTGGATTCTCTGCCCGTATTATTCTCCTGAAGACGATTGAAGCAACTCAATCAAAACTTTGAGACATTCTCAATAAACAACAGTTCTTTTCAGAACTATCTACATGGTGTACCGCAAGCATTAAATATATTTTTGTTGATTTTATTATAATAGTGGCCTTGGCCTCTCTGCTCTTTACGTAAAAAACATGTGAATTTAATACTTCCAGGTCGCAGCCAGATTACTATGAGGTCGTGAGCAGCCCAATTGACATGCTGAAGATCCAACAGCGGATACGCATGGATGAGTACGACACTGTCAATCAAATGTCATCTGATGTGGAACTGATGATAAGCAATGCCAAGTCTTACTATGTGGTAAGCAATGTAATAAAACTTCCAGAGTGTCAATTAAATTTAGCAACGGACCAATCAGAGCAGGACCTGGAATACGCACTTGTCTACAAAGTCATGCATTGTCCCACACACACACATGCTTACACTGTTATTTTGTTTGACCTTTGCAACAATATCCAAGGAGTGGGGCTGAGCGGAACGGTCTATTGTATGTTGCATACAAGGGCTTAGCCAGCAAGCTGTCCGGCCACCTTTTGGATGGCCAACAATTATTTATGACAGCCACTTTTACTGTGACGGCTTGGCCGGCTCAGCTCAGCCAAGCCTAGTTGGGCCTGGTCTACCTTTAGCAAATTCTTTTTATACCTTATTCGAATCTATCGAATTTTGCATTAAACTAAAGTTAAATCGTATTTATGTTTAGGCCTATTGATTGAATTTATGTTGATTTCATACCAACATTTGGTGGGAATTCCCAAAAAGGTGAGGCTAAACCATTGTCTACCCTTGTAAAACTTTTACTTACAACTTGTCGCCTGTCATGTTAGAAATGTATTTATACCCCGCTGGTAAATGGACGGCCTATTTTTTTTTTTTTTTTTTGGCTAAACCCCTGGGTACATATGAATGTTCATATATTTATTGTATATACATATTAACTTATAAATATGTATATACAATAAATATATTGTATATACATATTAACTTATAAATGTTTGTTTATATTTACCTTTATATGCAAAATGCTAGTTTGTCTCAGTAAATTTATTAGTGCATTGGTCCGTACATCGAGAGCAGACAGTTCTGTTCATTTCAATTCGCTGTCTTGAATGCATACTCTATTAATATTTTTCTATTAGTCCAAAAAATGCTTGTGTATCCTAGGTCTAATTTTAGGTTCACTGTCGATCATCCATGCCTTCTGGAAATTCATATTTTAAGGTATCAAAATATTAAACAATATTAAAAACTATTTACTTTATTTGGTAGAAAACATCTCAGGAATATAAAGATGCCTGCGACCTTTGGGATTTGTTTGTGGATCGTCTGAATGAAATGATGCAGCAGGATGGTCCGTCCGGATTGAAAAAGACGGCACAGAAGGAAGCAGAAAGCTATGAAAGAAGGGTAAGTATTAAAAGGGCAAAATGAAAACTGTATTATTGAGGAAGGTGTGGTGTATTTGGAATTGTGATTGGCAATAGATCATTAGTAATAATAGTAGACAGTTTACACATTATCATCATTTTTACTAACACCATTATCATCATCATCATGTTGCCATCAACGTTGTCATTAACACCATTATAATTGTAAACAGCCCCATCAACATCCATCATCAACCCATCATCTTTACCACTGGCATTAACATAGTCATTAAACCACTATAATTATAAACAGCCCCACCGACATCCATTGTCAAACTATCATCATTACCATTGTCGTCAACATCATCATCATTTATAATTAACAACATCGTTACCATTGTCGTTGACATCATTTTTAACACCAATATATTTGTAAACAGACCTACCAACATTATTTTCATCATCATCAACACCATCACCATCATAGTAATCACTTTTTTTTAAACAATAAAGTGACGTACCAGTCTAGCCAAGTTTTTGTTGAAATTAGTGTTAAAAATAAGGATTCTTGCAATACATATGAATATAAAATTTTATGAAAATGCGCCTGTTTGTGCAGTTTTAAAAAGCGCAAGCGAAGTTGCATTGTTAGTGACACTGTCACTATAACAACGCGACTTCACTCACACTTTTGTAAACTGTATAAACAGGCGCGTCGAATGTTTATATGATTTGAAAAAATCCTTAATAAATAATTAGTAAATCCTTAATAATGTTAAATTTATATTTATTATTAAAAAGTGAATGAATAATTTAAACAAATGGCAAAAGAAACTTGTCTAAACTGGTACGTCACTTCAGAACCCCCAAAATTTTCACTTCACTTTTTTCTGTACAATGATTGGCCGATGAGTAATCTGGATAGTAGAGATCAGTGCTCAGAACCCTTGTTGGTTATGATTTATGGTTTGTTTTAAATATAACCATAGAGTTCTGAGGGTTATGATGTATAAAGTGTAAGCATTACACCCTTGGTGGTTGATTTTGTTTGGAAGTGGCATCAAGACTCCTAAGGGCTATGATGTATATAAAAGGACTCTTTGCAGTCATGATGTATAACATAGACCCCTAGTGGTTATGATGTATGAAAACTATGATTTTGGATATAAGAAACATTGCTATGCACCCTTGTTGGTTATGATTTTTTGTAAAAAATAACCATAGACCCCTGGGAGTTATGATGTACAGTATGGTAGTCGTGGTAGTGGTATCAACACTGCAAGTACTTCACATGGTTATGATATATATTCATGTAAACATAGACCCTTACTGGCTATGATGTATGGAACATGATTACAGTATGCCTCCCTGGTGATTATTATGAATTGCAAGCATACAGTATACCCCTTCTGGCTATAATGCTTTAAGTGACTGGACTACCAATGTCATTGTTCTTTGTTCTGTTCAGTGGCGTATCCAGTGGCATATCCAAGGGGGGGGGGGAGGTGGCATGGGGTACACACCTCCCCCCCCCCCCAATTAGAAAACTTTGAAGCAAAAAAAAATTAGGCTAGGCTTATGCTCATGCTGTCACGGTTATCGTGTATTTGGGAATCTAAGAAGCAATATTTTTCAGTGGGCATGGCCACGGAAAATAAATTCCACGCCCCCTCATATTTTGGTTGCGCCCCCCCCCCCATTTTAATACTGCTAGATACGCCACTGGTTCTGTTCTGTTACTGTAAGAGTTTTCACCACATGTTTACAGCAAGAACAGTGCATACTATGTATGCATTAACAATTATTCATACACAGAAGAATCTTGGAAAGCCTGATACTAATTACATTGGATAATCTAGAAATAGCTTATGAAATGACGTGAACACAAATCTGTCTTATGTTTTGTAACAATAAGTTCATTTTTTTATTGTTTATCTAGGTTAGTACAGATTACTGTAGGCTACATAGAAACAATATATTTCTAATGTGCCTGACATACTATTAATCAAAGTATTTTCTTGAACACTTCTGATGTTACCCCCCCCCCATTTTAATACTGCTAGATACGCCACTGGTTCTGTTCTGTTACTGTAAGAGTTTTCACCACATGTTTACAGCAAGAACAGTACATACTATGTATGCATTAACGATTATTCATACACAGAAGAATCTTGGAAAGCCTGATACTAATTACATTGGATAATCTAGAAATAGCTTATGAAATGACGTGAACACGAATCTGTCTTATGTTTTGTAACAATAAGTTCGTTTTTTTTATTGTTTATCTAGGTTAGTACAAATTACTGTAGGCTACATAGAAACAATATATTTCTAATGTGCCTGACATACTATTAATCAAAGTATTTTCTTGAACACTTCTGATGTTATACTGTATTAGTTCCAATATTTGAAGGAACATTTATCAGTAGTATATGTGTGAAGAAAAAGCAATCATCAACATACAGTAGCTATAAACAAGCAAAGAATGACAATAGATGTTTCCTACACATACAACGATTTAAACAATGCGTGGTTGTGTTTTCTACCTTTGAAAAATTGCTTAAAATAGTGTTAAGTATTCAGCATTTCTTTTTTATGTACTGTGAATGAAACTAATAACAACATTAACCATTATGATGATGATCAGAATATAGTTTTAGTCATAATCATCAATCCATAATCATCTCTAATATTACAACCATTTACCACTAATAGCAATGATTTCCTGATTATCTTGAACTAATTGAATTCCTAATTTAGTCTAAATCCAATTGTTCTCTTGAATATTTTTTAGATTATTGATAATTTTAGAAAAAAAAAAGGTTTATTCTCTTTTTGGGTACTTGGTAAGATGAATTATTATTATTATTATTATTATCTGTTATTTTTATTAATATTATTCATTTTTATGGTATTGCTATTATTTATTTTCTTATTGTTACATTTTATTATTGAATTAAAGCATGATTATTTTATCATTAATATAATTATATTAATACTTTATCATTACTATAAAAGCATGAGTACTTTTAACAGAACTCATTTGCATAATACTACTACTTTATGAATTTACTTACCTTGACTAACCAACAGTCTTTTCACTGACTTTTTTTTGCACATTCACTCATACTGGCCACAAGAAGGACGCCCTCACCGCTTATTCCTGACATTTAGTTTTCACACTCGTTTAATCAGTTGTGCTTTTGGGGGTGCGAGGGCAGGGAGAGTCAAGCAGGATACTGTAATTCTAGCCTCACTGAAAACATTTGGGGTTTTTGTTAATTGCAATGTCTTTCCCATCAGCGGACGAGGAGTAGTTCCTTGATGGAGGTTGCCCAGCAACAAGAGAAACCGGCACCAGTAGAGGAAGATGCCATAGAATCAAGTGATGAGGAGGTGGAGGATGAGGGTGATGTCATCGAGGATGACCAGGAGGATAATAATGATAATGATGATGAGGTAGTAGGAGAAGATGAGGTACTCACTACCTTGTGTCTCGCTGCAGTGGCGTATCTACAGGGGATTGTGGGGCACACCCCCTCCCCGAATAAAACTTGTACCCTTCAGGTGCCATCCCCACTAGGAATTTGCTTTGCTAAAAATAGTTGTGCTAAAGCAGTTAAATATCTAATCATTTCACCTTATCTTGCCAGCTAAATATCTTGCCAGCTAAATGCCTCACTTAATCATCGAGGTCCCCTATTTAACATTATGGCCCCACCATCTCCCTGTCCCCCACCCCCAATGTCTATACTCCTAGATACGCCACTGTCTCGCTGTCGTAATGCATATTAGTTTCCTCCCACCATAGAATTATTGGATCATTCATGGTGCATGAACATAGCACTTCACTCGTAGTTTTTTTTTCATTTAAAATCATATAATAATCATTCTACTGTACTTTCATTTAATTTCATCTCCTGCATGTTATAGTCATCAATTAACTTAACGTTCATAAGCTTCAATCTATCATTTTGTGCTCTCGTATTTCAAGCATGTGTAATTTTCTCACATTAACCTAATTTCATTTTATGTAGTAAAATTACCGGTAATAGTTTTACCTCTGTAGTGTAATGAACTGTTTTGTAAAGAAATTATTGTTCTTTAGTTTTAGAATGTGGATTATTAATTTTGCTTGAACCTGCAAAAGTAAATCTAATTGTAGATATTGTAGATAGGTTATTGAAATTGATGATTGAAATTGTTTGCAAAAACTCATAGAGTATATGTGAGCATGGTTATTGTTCTATACCAGTTTTTTTCTTAAATTGTTTCAAATTGTTGAAAGTGGTGTTTTGTGTCTGCATGTGGTATAGTTCATGTTTCCAAAGTGTTTCCATTGTAAAAACTATATTATCAATAATATACTTATTGATATTATAGTTATTTCTATTGTAAAAACTATATTTTAGCAATAAGTGTAATATTAATTTATATTTATAGAGGTGATCTATACTTTGTAAGTGTCTTAAATTAGGATTATGTCTCTTGCTTAATTTGACTATGATTGTTGTGTTCTAATTAAACAAAAAAAAAACGGTAATAAATAATATTAATAATGTCATTTGTCAGTGAGACAAGCATCTTACAATTATGAATACAATTGTACAATGATGCTGGAGAAAATATATGAAAACTTATGCTAGTCCAACAATTTATATGAAATTGATAAGTATTATAATATTGACAGTTTTTTCAAAGCCTTCTTCATGCAATCATCAGCATGATTATTTCATATTTGTCCACATTATTTTTAATAATTAATAATATTAAAAGAAAAATTTAAACTACTTAAGGTTTTCTTACTCAAAATAATATTAAAATGTTTTCTCATGAATGAAGGTCATATATGATTTACATAATAAAGTATATGCTGCTTTGTCTTTTTTCCACGCTGTACATAATACAATGCAACTATAGCTAGAGTTATATCTAAGCCTCTTACCGACAATGATGCTAATTTGTTTAACATGAAAGAACTTTTTTATATTATACGCCTGGGATTCTTTAATTACCAATTACTGAAACACTAAATAGCTCCTTCATCTTTATGAATTATATATCTTTTGATTTGAAAATTATGAGAACAAAATGTTCCTCACGCGTATAACTAACACAAATAGACTTTTTTTTTAGTTAAATAAAAATAATTATATATTAAATATATAATTTCAATTAGTTTTAATGTTTTTTTACCAGGATTATGATGCTGGCCAATCAGAAACCACTTCAGTGCAGGGCTCTGATTTTGCTATGGAGAATCCAGACAGCCTCCTAGAGCAACTATTCACCGCTGTCATCATGCATAGGGACACCACCGGTCGCTATGTTAGCGCCCTCTTTAGGAAGCTGCCTAAACCAGCACAGTTCCCGGATTACTATGAAGTCATCGATCATCCGATTGACATGAAAGATATGGCGAAGAAGATACGTGTAAGTTTTCCTTCGTATGTATTTAGTCAACATTAGTTTTGTATGCCAATTGTATGCACAGTTAGAGATGCCAAAAGGTCCACTGATTAATCTCAGATAAGATAGTATAATACTGTACGTACTTCACGCCATCGTGTCGGGACACGATGGCGTGCAGTTTGATACTTGGAGTATGTATTATACTATCTTGTTAGAGATGCAGTGATAAACAATAAACATTAGTGCCAATGTGCTAATTGAATTAATGGATGGATGGATGGATTTATTAAGTGTGAATACCAAGGATGACCCACAAAATTCTGAAGAAGACTTATTTCCAGTGGGGTCATTCTGGTGGTGATTGGGCGGTTCACCGGGAGACAATCCCCTACACATAGGACCAATGGTTTAAACGTCTCCTCTGTAAGAAGGTGCATTTCTGCCCTCCAGCTGAAATATAGAGTCAACCTCGTCTAAGTTTATTACATTGCTCAAAATTTGTTAAAGTCAGACTCCGAGAGAAAAAAAAAATTTGATATGTTGTAGAACTGATTTTTCTAAGACAGAAAAAAGTTGTTTGACGAAAAACTGGTGAATGGTGAACGAGATACAGATTTTTGAATATTTAAAAACTAGGGGAAAAAGAGGCGTAACCGCCCATTTTTACACCTTTTTCCCCCAGTTCTTAAATATTCAAAAATCTGTATCTCATTCACTGTTGCTCAGTTTTTGAATGCTAAATTATTTTTCAAAGTCAAGAAGTGTTATAATTGATCATAATTTTTAACTCAAATATGTATCGTTTTTGCATTACTCTTTTGTAAGTTGAATGACTTATCAAATCCATTATGAATTCAACTCACACAAGGTTGATTGTACAATTACACAAATATAAAAGCAAAGTAAACAAATAACTAATTTTTAAAGAATTAAGATATTTAGATGTATGTATATTTTTACTTTCATTGGGGTCTAATGTTATAAAGGGAGCGGATATTGCAATATGAGTTTTAAACTTTGTTTTTTCGTGTGTATATGTTATTCTAAATTTTTTTTTCTTCAACGTAAGTTCAGGTTCTTATCTTTGTTGGCTGTGGGTTCAATTAAAATCAAACTGAATTAATAAACAAATTTTCACAATTTTTTTTTTCCAAGAGTGGAAAGTACACGTGCCTGAATCAACTAGTTGACGATATGAACCTAATGGTACGGAACGCCAAGACATTCAACGAACCTGGATCCCAGGTGTATAAGGATGCCTGTACGCTGAAGAAGGTGATCATGTCGAAAGCAAAGGAGCTTGAACGTCGCAAGGAGTTGATGGGGGTTGAGACAAAGACCAAGTCTTCTGAGAGAATCAAGTAAGTTGAAATAATGTTTTAGCGCCTCAAGCACTACTGCAGTAGATTTGTGCACTTTAAAATATTATTATTATTATTATTTTTGTAATAATGCTAAAGAAGGAACACATTTGTATAAGACTGGTGTAACAGTAGCCATAACCTTGAAAATTAGAACTTCACCATTGTTTTGTCTTTGATTATTCAAACCAGGAAAAGGAGAAGCAACTTCAATCAGGAGGCTGAGGATCAAGAACAGCCAGAGAACACCTCTGCCATCGACATGGCTCTAGATCTCCCATCAGATGGTGAGGAGGAACCAGAGTCTTCTTACACACCAATGCAGTACGAGGAAGGTGATGAATGGGATTCCGAGAGCTTCTTGATGGATTCCAACGATGCGTTACATGTGCTTTTTGATGTCATTGTGAAACAGAAGAATGCGGCAGGCCATCTGATCTCAGAGCCTTTCTATCGTCTGCCAAGTAGGAGGCATTATCCTGATTATTATGAAGAGATCAAGAACCCAATGGCACTAGGGAAGATCAGAGCTAAGTTGAAGGTGAGATTACCATTCCTATACCTTTTTGTTAAAAATTTAAAATTAAAGACAACCTAAATAGATCCCTAGAACTTTAAGTAACCTTTTGTATCTCAAAAATGTACATTTAAATTTGTGTCTTACAATTGCAAATATAGAATCTCATATCGTATCGTATTAAAAGTGGTAGGTACAGTATACCTTAAAACCTCGAATTGAAGCCCTGGGCTTCTTCATTTTCTTGTAATCTTTGGATGGGCTTCTTTTCAAGATGGGCTTCTTTTTTAGGCTACTTTTTGTGAAGGGGCCTTCTTTTTGAAATGAATGCTATAAATTTTGAGAACTAGTAAACAATAAATGGGCCACTGTAACATCAATCTGTATCATGGAGTGTATTAACTGGCATTAAATCACCTAAACTACTGTAGAAGTGTGTTTAAATTTATTTTGTTTCATTGAAATTCATGTACAGTGTATGTACAGTACTATGTCTACTATATAACCTATGCTTTCTTGATGGGCTTCTTTTCGAGGCTAATTTTGCAAACTATAGAGGAGGCTTCAATTCGAAATGGACCTCTTCTCGAGATTAAGCCCATTGGGCTTCAATTCGAGATTTTACAGTATCTTATTTAAACAATTTAAAGAACTTTAGCTAGTTCTCTAGGTTTTGTGTTGGATTGTGGGGCTGGAGGTTAAGAGGAGTGGAAATTCAAGAGTAGACTAGCAGCTAGAAGACAAGCTGTGGTCAGAGAGTGGAGCTGCAGGTTTGAGCTTCATGCAGTTATGGAAGAGTAGAGCTTCAGTTTGCAGAGTAGAGCTTGTGAAATGTGGAATATAGCTTGGTTAAGTGTAGCTTGGACAGAGTCATTTACACCATTTTTGCTAAATTTGAAATTAAAATTTCCAAAAACCTGGCAACTACCACATCAGCAGCCTAGGCATTTTGGTCTACGTTTACCAGTGTTTGTCTGTGCTCTGTGACTGGTGTACGACCTTGTTGTTGTAGAGGCCTAGGCTAGTCATTGCAAAACAGAATGGCAAAACAAAACAAAAAAAGAAAATAGGGGTGCATAAAACCTGCAATGCTTTTAGTTGTCAAAGTACTCAAAAGAAGATATGTGTCTGGAAAAATTAAATTTGCTCAGGATATGCTGCTGTATGTTCCACAGCAAAAAGTTGCTAAACATTGGTGGCGCCGTTTCAAAATAGACCCGATAAAATAGTGTGTATATTCTTAATTTTTATTTTGTTGCAGAGTGGTAAATATGATTCCCTAGAGGATCTAGGCCATGAAATGGATTTGGTTTTTGGCAATGCCAAGCAATACAACAAATCAACTAGCCGCCTCTACAAAGACGCTGACAAGTTGCAAAGGCTGCTACATATCAAAAAGAGAGAACTACAGAAGCTAGATATGAAGGTAAGGATATAAGGAAAAGGTAGAAGAATGAAGGAAAAGAGAAAGAAGAAAATGTAAAGAGAATTCAAAATCTAGTACAGTAGAACCTCGTTTTTACGTACCACAGTTATACGAACCCTCGGTTTTACGTAAACCTCGTATCGACGATGACGTCATCAAAAACCCCGAAAATATTCAAAACAAACGGCCCTTTTCAGAGCAACTATAAAGTAAAAAGACTATAACAATAAACTATAACGATAAACAAACCATAATGCAATGTATTTTCATTAAACAGCAACATTGATTGAGTCTAATACCGGGTTGTTATAATCTAAAACCACGTGAACTGAGTGAGATGAACAACTACCGATGGTGCTCAAAATAATTGCTTTCCTCCTTAGCTTTGTGTGGCAAACCATGGAAAAACTTGTCTGGTCTAATTTTCTACACGAAGCTGAGTAGGCATATTTTCGTACACGAACGCTAATTGGTTGGCTCGCCCAGTGCAGTGCACATGGTTTTGCTGTTTCACGTACACGAACGATAATTGGTTGGCTCGCCTAGTGCACATGGGTTTAGTTTGTCTCAACAGGCCCAGACAACACCACAGCTCTGTTGTTTAGAATAATCATGAAGGGGAATTCCCAAGTTATACCTTTGTTGTATAGGTAATCTTACAATATTTTCATGTTCTTTAGTTAAATAAAAGACATAAAGTGATGAATTAATACACTAGACACATGGTTATATTTGAACACTTTATTGTGACATCGTAAAGTGATGAATAAAAACACTAAACACATGGTTTTATTTGTAGGCCTAGAGGCTAGGTCTAGCCAACTAGGTAACATCGTTCGTTCATACTTACGTATATTGAGCGTTACGTACGTATTAGGTCAAAGGTTACCACAAATTTAACCCAGCCTCTATTTTACGAATCCCCCGATTTACGTACGCCCTCCGGTCCCGTACCGTACGTAAAATCAAAGTTCTACTGTACCATGATTTTCTTTTAGGTTTTATGAACATAAACAAAAATAAAGTGGGTTAATAGTTTTTTCACATTATATGGTTTTTCTTTAATTCTGAAAATATATGTGGTCTATATAGTTGCGATTGCTACAATATTTACAAAATGTTAAAGTTAGACAAATTTTGAACCAACTAATAATAAATATGGTAGACTGAAATAGTTTTTTTAATTGTTTTGTTGTCCCATTGTATATGTTCTTTTTTTTTTACATTATATAAGTGGTAGGCTTCCCAATGTTGAATGAAATTTAAAATAAGGTTTTTAAAAATAATGTAGGGACCTATGTACTTTTACAGTAGAATATTAAAAAGGAAATACTGAAGCATAGGTACAAATTCACAAAACAAAAAAATGCATATCTGGGATCCCAAATCTCTCACAAGTGGCAGCAGCCTCACAAAATTTGCAGCGGCCTCCCGCACTCCCACTAAGCAAAAGTTAGACAAGCAAACTGTCGCAGTTGAGGCTTGGCCTGTTTGACGGGGTCACCGCCACTGATTACGACCCTGATCAAACCCCCATGAAACAGAATATTGTGGAAATGTTTGCAAAACAAAAAAATGCTCTGTAATGACCTTTAATGGGAAAAGAGACTAAGTAATGGAAGTGATGAAGATAATTACACTATGAAAACTTGGACAACTAGACAGAGATCCATTGGCATAACCCTAGATATACTACTGAGATCTGAAAGTCTGACAACATTTCAGACTACATTCAAGAATTGTCTGATGTATTTCTTGCCAAGAGATAATCATCACAAGAGTTGGAGAGATGAGAGTAGCTGGCACTGTTTTACCGGGTAGCTCAGACAGACCCTTAGGGGAGAAGCAAGTTACTGTGCGAGCTAATCCATACTTCAAGCTCCTTGAAATATCAGTATAAAGCGCTATATAAATTCAGCTACATTTCATTACATTTTTCAGAATGGGCAAACATGATGAATAAACCAAAGTGTACATTTGTGGTACATGACATAAATTGTTTTTAAGTGAACTGTAGAGACCTTCAGTGGCGTATCTAGGCGGGGTGCGCTGGGGGCGCACGACCCTCCAAAAATTACTTGTGACCCCCCCTCCCAGTCGCTCCCTAAGCATCTCTTTGCAAGTAGTTAAAAAATAACCTAAAATCACCTTATTTTGCGAGTTAGCACCCCTCAACTGATATCATCGAGTCTCTTTAATTTGAGTATCAATGCACACAGCAAACAACCCAAGGGTTATATTGGATTTATTAACATTTTAAAAAAGGCCTCCCTCCCTTGTCACTTTTCCAGCCTAGATAGGATGATAAACTATTATTTTTTTGTATAGGGCCTAATAGTATCGTTGGGGAACACTGTGGGGAACAGCAGAAATTGTTTAATAGTGGAGGACACTGTATTTAATAGTGGGGGAGGCACTTTGTGTTGTTTGTTTTATTTTTTTAGATCATTTTTTATCTTAGCTACATATTTATACAGTGTATAAATATGTAGTGTGTCTATTGATAGTTTAAATTCTTTAATATAAACATTGATTTTGATGCTTAATCAGTGTTTTACTGTAATTAAGAATTTTTTGATATTAACCAGAAATAAGTTAATGAATTAAAAGTATTAGTACGTGTGTTTAAAAGTTGGAATAGGCTAACTGTCCACACACCTACCTCAAAGATGTAAGTGAAAAATACCTCTGATGGGTGTGTTTTTACAGAATCATGTCCATAAGCGCTTCGTATCTGCAAAGAAAAGCGCTATATAGAACCAAATATGAATATATATGGATAAATGGACAAATCACAGATTGTCGCATAAAACTTCAAAGTATGGACAGAATGTTGAAAGAATTTTTAAAATCCACTGCAGGGCTTCATCCTCTTATTTAAAATTTAAAAAAAAAACTTTATTGCAAACATCTTTTTTTTTATTTATATAAATAAAAAATATATGAAATGTATTTTAGTAAGAAGGATAGTGAGATATGAACAATTAATTAAACAATTTTTGAAGAAAATTCAAGGAATTTTTACCACTATACTGCTTAATTAATAATGTTCTTTTTGTGTGATTCTAAAATAAGAACATTCTTTTTTTATCCCTTGGGGATTTTCCAGGACGTAATTTATGAATTTGAATAAATTAAGTTGGCTGATGTGATAAGAAGGTTATTTTAGAGTAGGAAGTAGTGAAAACAAAGACTTGAGGACTTTGTCTAAAATCAGCTATTCAAATCACAATTCCCTGCAGTCCTATTGGCCAAGGACAAAGGCCATCTTTAAAACCCAGCCAAGCATGACCATAAATAAATAAAGCCCTGGCTAGCTTGCCAGTGAAGTGATTAACAAAGGTTGAGAAAGCTCACAGCTCAAACAATGTGCGGCCTATGATAACATGTGCTACTGCTGGTCTGTTATTCACTGGGAGTTCGTTCTTGCCTAAAGATGCAGTTAGTAGGTTCAAGAAAAGTAGGTTTTGTTTGTTGTTAGTAATATTTTTTAATTGATTCATATTTATATCAAATTATTGAACCTCTTTTTGAAAAAACTTAATTGGCATGTCAGTAGGTCTAAAGGTGATGGTGTGGTATGTATTTATAAAACCTCCATGATAAAACAGAACAACATTTTAATGCCAGGCATAATTAGGACAAGTTTTTTCCTATACATGAATGAAGAGGTGTACTAACTCATCATATTATTCGAACTAAAACCTACCCACAGTGATTTTATAAGCATCAGTTGAAACAAAGTAAACATAAAATTTAGAGTCATATTTCGACCCCATACCTAAATAAGGTAGTTTGAGGAAAATTGTTTATTTTATATTATTATGTTTTTATTAGCATACCACACCATAAAGATAAACTTTATTTTTAAAGAACTGTTCAAATGTTAACATTGAAACTGAAATGATGTAATTAAAAAGAAAATGTTATGGCTGAGGGTTATGCATGAGCTTTTAACCTCAAATTAGTTTTTATGAGACTGGATCATGATCAAATTATCACTGTACCATTGTACTTGATTATATAATTATTTTTTTTATACCTCCATGATTATACCAATAATTTTTTTAGAACTATGTTCTTAATTGTCAATATCTAGTGTCCTTCAGATTCCTTTGTTAAAGGAAATTCGATGATAACACATGGCAGCATATTTTAGTGATTTTATGTTCTCAGCTTCCTGAATTTTTGTTTCTTTTTGTAATTTGTAAAATTATTTTTATTACTTTCAGAGGGAACTCGAGGATGATGAGGGGTTTGTTAAGAAACAGCGGTTGTTTAAACGGGAGGAGGGCGATGGGGACGACAGGGATATCATGAAACAAAGAATGCTACAAATCTGTGACAAATTAGCCAAATATCAGGTATTGTTTTGGTTTAAAAGTACATAGATTTAAAGTGCAATATAAGAAAATAGTTTATAATTAAGAATAAATGATGACTTTTTAATTTATTCTATTTAATATATTTTACCTTTTTCAAACATGAGATAGTACATCAAATATTTATATAAATTTAAAATAAATATGTAAAAGAAAGTTAATTACTATAATATTGTTATATACACCATTTTCGCGAAATTTGAAATAAAAATTTCCGATAACCTGGCAACTACCACTGGGGGACTTTCTGAGGCCTAGCATTTCGCTCTACATACTTACCATCGTGGATTAAATCAATGATGAAACTAAATTACTAACGAGTAAAAACTAACGGAAAAAACAAGAAATGTTTACATTAAAAACAATTTTAAGTCTTAAAAAGCTATTTCAGTGTAATTAGCAAGATCGTATCTGTTGTCTACTGTTGCTATGGCAAAGGTCCGCTGCGCAGTGCTTTACTCGTAACTAGCCAGCTGCTCAGGCTAGGCCGCTTTAAGCCCCCCCCCCCAGTGAGTTGCGAGACATTGACGGCGCCGTTTCAAAATAAATCCCATGAAATGGTCTATAGAATATAATGACATTATAATGACTATAATAATGTTCTAAAGACTGCCTCTCCTTTATGTAATATTATTAATATAATAACACTTAATAATCAAATGCACAATTATTATACATCATTTCAAGCTCAATTTCTGCAGGGTCCCAAAAAAGTAATATAAGATCATTGAAAGACAAAATAAACAAAAGTTCTATCTTGATAATCAGCAGTATTTTTATATCAGAGTAAAGGTAATTAAAATAATAATACAAGTGATGATATGAGTATTTTTTTGTGTATGTTTACTATAGAATGAGCTTGGTAGATTTCCTATTGAACTGTTTGTGGAGAAACCCTCCAAGAAGCTGTATCCGGACTACTACCAAGTGATCACAGAACCAATCGACCTTACAACAATCAGGAATGACATAGAAGCTGAAAAGGTAACTCAATTTGTGCCTAAAATTTATTGTTTATATAAATAATAGTAGTAGCAACAGCAGTAGCAGTAGAAAAATTGGCAGTAGTAGTAGTAGTATATTACTTGCAACTTGTTGCTTATAATATAGCGCATTTCCTTTCAGTTACGAAGCGCTGTAAGTTTTTCCCTGGTGATTGGGTCCACATGCTTTAGCGTTGCTGCCATATTAGGTGGAGAGAAGCAATGCAGATAAAGTGCCTTGCTTAAGGACACAAGTGAAATGCACAGCGAGGGATTGAAACCCTGACCTCAAGGTTGGGACAACAGACCGTTCCCGCTGCGCCAAACCGCTTCTTATTAAAACCAGTTAACAAAAAAAATATTGTAACTGGAAGTAATAGCAAATTAACAACAATAATAATTGCTATGATTTATCCTAAGTAACTACCATTTATACCTTGCAGATAATATTGGTAATAATATTTAACGACGATATTAAGATTGACTTTAAGATTGACTTTCCTTGAAAACCAGTTATTTTACCTAGAGAATTATTTATACATTTCTGATAATGATGAAAACAGTGGTGACACCAACTGACAATGACGCCAAATGACACAAATTTAGGCAACAGCTGTGCCAGTGACAAGGATGCCAACAACAGTGACACCAACCGTTTTCCAATGACAACAATGCCAGCAAAACATTAACAATGCTGACAATAATATTAAGATGAGATTCACAGAAATTCAGGCCATATGTGAAATAATAATGAAATATTAATAGCTTAGAATGAACCATTGTAGTGATTTATATCTTCTTTGTTTTTTCTGTGTAGTATTCAAGTGAAGAAGCTGTATTGGATAGTTTCCAGTTGATGTTCAACAATGCCAGGCTGTACAATGAAGAGGGCTCCCTTGTCTATCAAGATGCAAACCTTCTGGAAACGATTTTGAAAAAGTATTACAGAGAGTTAGGCCCACTCCCTGGTAAGTAGTAGTAGTGAAAATTCATTTATACAAAAAGCACAAGTCAACAAAACACATGCTGCTGTTTTACCTTACAATTACATTCATTTTATAACACTTTACATTATGGTCATACAAAAATAACACTCCCTTGGCCAGCTATAATTTGTCTACACTCCTTAGCTGTTAAAAATAAAATTGATATGAAAAGTCCTAACATATATTATTATTATTATTATTATTATTATTATTATTATTATTATTATTTATTATTTTGTCTCAATTAGAATATGGAACCAAAAACCTCTGATTACGTTTTGGATGTGCTATCTACAATATACCAGGTTTCCTTATATAGTACATTTGTACAGTATCTATGTAGTTGTTTGTGTCACAGAGAAATGTACTTTTTTTCTTCTCATCCAGCAAAGTGTACAGTATTTCTTCCCATATAAAATTGTTAAATGTTGTTGTATTGATATGGCAAATAAATAATATATTAAATACATGTTTATTTTTTTGGTGGTAGGTAAACCCAAATATGGAAGCCCAAAGAAAGCATCTCTTGCCAACTTGCCCAAAGGACCAGCACCACTTTCCCAGAAGCTGAGTTCACTGTATGCTGTCATCAGAGATTACAGGGATTCTGCCCAGAGAGAATTGGCTGTACCTTTCATTCGCCTGCCATCTAAAAACGTAAGGCTTTGTTTACTATTTGTTTGTTTAATAAAACTTATTACACCACACATTTTACCCTGTTTGTTTTCCTTGTTTTTTTTGTAGAACTTTTTTCATTTAAGTACTCCAAGCTGTAGCCCAAACCATTAACAGTGTTTGTTGATTGTTTGTTTAATCTGGTAAAATGAGGTTACACTGACTGTCAAAAGAAATTACTTTCTTGCGCTAAAAAAATTTTCTTTTATTTTTTCTGTAACCAACCTTAAATAATGGTTCACAGGTACTCTATATGTGCTGACTGTAGTATTTTATAGCTGATTTGATATGTTCAGTATAGCTTGTGGTTGCCTGTTCTACAGCCAAACGATAATGATGAGTACTGTATAATTATTCTTACTGTCAGATTTATATAATTTATCTTGTAGGAGTACCCAGAATATTATCAAGTAATTAAGAAGCCCATAGACATGCAACGCATCCAACAACGGATGAACAGTAAACAGTATGAAACCATAGACGACATGGTCAATGACTTTCTCCTCTTGTTCGACAATGCTTGCAAATTCAACGAGCCCGACTCTTGGATATACAAGGACGCTCTGACCCTCCAGAGGGAGCTGTTGCGAGCTAGACGCGAACTGACGGGTAATGAAGTGTCCGGTGTACCAGAAGTAATGGGCATGGTGCGAGAAATTCTAACAAGTTTGTTTGTGTCAGTCGCCAATCACCAAGATGAAGAAGGCCGCTGTTATAGTGACTCGCTAGCTGAAATACCAATGGAGAAAAAAGAGGGGGAAGAGACAGTTGAAAAGCCAGCTCAAGAAGAGCAAGATCCACCTGCTGAAACTAAAGAGAGGTACAGGTACCACTCTGCTATCTATTGATACTCCTCCCCCTTTAGAAATTCCTCCCTACGCACAGTTGTAGCCCAAGCCATTGTCATTGCTCGTATGTTATGGTTTGTTTAATTTGAAAACTTGTGCAAGATTAATCCTTTTCCTACTGGTAGCACTGTCTGCAGTATTCCGTAGCTTACAGTGTCTCACGTAGGCAGACAATATAAGTAACCATAGTAACACTAACACTTAAATATACCGTTATATTACACAAGTAGCCCTCTAATGCAAAGCTTTTATATATTTTTAAATAAATAGATAATAGTGGAATATATACAAACTTATTAGGTCAGTCTGCAAAATCCTGTTAATTTGTTATTTGTCTTAAACAGAAATATTTCTTCAACCAAATTGTCATACTTTTTTTCTGTTTTCTTGCAGTGTGCCCTCTTCATTGGATCTAGATACACTACGTAAATTTCTAGACCGAGGATGTTTCCGTAGATTGGATCGTTTCCAGGATGGAGTGTTTGAGATTTTTGAACAAGCTAGGAAGCTTTCAAGGACAGACTCTCAGGTTCGTTAGAGAAAATCTTCAACTTTAATGAGCAAAGTAATTAAAACATGAACCCTTGAAAACATTTACTTAAAAAATAAGGGATTGTCAAAGCAGATTCTTCACTGTCTTGTTTAGACAGTGCCCACTTAAACATCACAGACAGTAAAATAGTCCCAATTTCACAAAGGGACCCCTCCACCCCACAGTAAGAGAATAATTATAAAGCAAAAGGCTTTGTTTTATATAGAATACCAGAGGATTTACCATCAACAGGGTAGTCATTTCTATTAATTACACAATGCAGATACACACACAAACATAGGTAAAGCACATCCTTCCTTCCTCACTTACTCTTGCATATTTAATTAAATTATTAGAGGACTTTTTTTTAAACAACTTTCGCAATTATATAACTATGTTCCTCTATAACCTTGTGGTTTTTGATTACCTCCAGTTGTATGAAGATGTCGTTGAACTCCAAAAGTTCTTTATCACGATTCGCGATGAGATTTGCAAGAATGGTGAGATCTTGTTATCACCTGCTCTTAGTTACACACATAGGCACTTACAAAACGCTCTGGACAAGGAGAAGAAAGAGAAGTTACCAAATGAGGTAAGAACATCGTGATATAGTCCCTGTGATTTGTCACAGGGACTTGGTTTGGACTCTGAAGTCGTTACTTTTGCACTTACTGTGATTCAGTGCCCTGGACTATTTAACACTCATATTTTTTACAATTTTTTTCATGACACTTGTTTATTTGTGTGGTTTTTTTTGTTTTGCTTATTTTTTAACTAACTAATAAAGTTATGTAATTAATGAATTTTTGAATTTCTTATAGTTGAAAGAAGATGCAGAAAAGAGGGAAGAAGATGATGGGGAACAAGGTGAAGATGGCGAGGTGGTCAAGGCAGGGGAGGAAGGGGACCCTGAGGGGTTAGTTGTTCAGGGTCAGACGTACAAAGTTGGAGATTTTATCTACGTAGAACCAAGGTGAGAAAATTGTTATTCCCTAATACAATTGAACGTTCATGTCAGAGTGTTTGAAACATTATGTGTTGTGATTTTAAAAAGATAAGTAATATTTATTTAATATCATGTAATTGGCTAGGCCTATATGCAACACATAGTATCATTTTAACATTCCAGTAATTTGTAAAATGTGGTACCCTAAAAAAAGTCTCTCTTAAATAAGTGCCACAGTGAAGACTCAGAAATATTAATTTGAAGCATCACAACAATGGTATGGTCATTTACTGCACTAACATTCATTTTGATGAGTACATACTAACCAACCTGCCTTCATGTTTTCTATATTTAGGACACTCAAAGAATGTATAAATATTAATGCTGCAACAAGTCCAATATGTATTATTTAAAACACAATGTATTGTTTTTGAAACTTCATCAAATTTGTTTTTACATTTTCAGTACTAACATTGTTCTTTGCTTTTCAGTGAGAAGAATCTGAAGCCACACATTGTTTGTATCAACCGTGTATGGAGGGATGACGATGGTGAGAACTGGTTGCATGGCAACTGGTACCTGCGTCCAAATGAAACATTCCACCTGGCTACCAGGAAGTTCCTCGAGAAGGTAACGGTCATGTAATTTGATTTAATTTTGGTTCATTCTATAACAAACAAAAGTTGACATTCTAGGCCTAGAAGTAACACCCCAAACCTAAGCATACAGTTAATATATGAGCCCTGGCATCTTAGGGTTAACTGTCTCAGGCCTAGACATATTAAGCCTTAACATCTCTGGCTTAGAAATCCTTCACTCTATTCCTAGTTCATCCTTCCTTATGGTAACTTGTTTATATAATATAGATTATTCATTGCTAACTTGGTCATTTTTTTTATCTAGGAGGTTTTCAAAAGTGACTATTACAACAAGGTAAAATTCAACAAGGTGGTTGGTCGATGTTTTGTCATGTTCGTCAAAGACTATTTCAAAAACAAGCCAGAGGGGTTTCCCGAGGCTGATATTTACGTCTGCGAATCTCGGTACTCTGCTAAAGCCAAAGCTTTCAAAAAAATAAAGGTAGGAACACTTTTACATTTGTCAATCCTGCAGAAGGTTGAATGGTATGTCACTGCACAGAATAGAATATAAAGACGATAATCATTGATTGCATTGTGAAATTTTTTTTTTTTTTCATAATCTTTTAGATTTGGTCACAAACAGCTGTAAATAGTAAATTAATACCACGTACTGACATACCTTCGAAGGTTCGTGTTGCGTCGGTGTTCGCAAACCAGGTCAGTAACGAAAAGAAAGATGATGAAGATGAAGTAGTAACAGTATTTGAAAAAATCAGAGAGGTGAGTTTTCTATGATAAATATCACACACAAAGATGCCAATTGTTTTTTGAAATGTTCCCGTCCTCTGCAGACACTAAACTATTATTTTAGGCAATAAATATCCATGTGGTTGTAGGCGTGGCTTAGTCCAAGATAAAAATATAATAGAATAAAAAAAGTGGAAAAAATTAAGAAAACAAATGGGAAAAGGGGGAAAACAGAAAACAAATATGAAGCAAAAAAAGGAAATAAAAGAAATTTAAATAAATGGGGAAATGGAAAAGGAAAGTTTAATAATGTCTGTTCAGATTGAAGTTAAATACAGGGCAACACACATTTCTATGAAATAATATTAATATAAAAGTAGTATACAGTTGACAAGTAATTTTTAATAAAAACGTTAACTATGAAGTAAACAAGATTGCCTCTTCAATAGCTGAATAAAAACAGATTTAAATTTCAGTGGTTACAGTTATTATTATACAACTATTCCAATCACACACCTGTTAACAATTTCATTATATGGAATTTATTAGCCCATAAAACATTATACTTCATCCATATAGTTGCCCTAAAGGTCAGTTTTTTCCTAACAACCCCTCCATGGACTTCTTGAAGGTCACCACCATACCATACATACCATACAACTTCAAATCACTCTGTTTTTAAAATTTGTATTAATTTGTCAATTTTTTACCATACAATTATTTAGCATTTTGTCCAATAAGTATAAGAATTTATTTGCTCATAAACCAGTATTTTTACACCTGCTCATAAAGCTTGCAGATAGTAAACATAAATTTGTCCCTAACAACACCTCCATAGAGACAGCCCTCAAGGCTACTGCTATACTATATTTAGGTTTACCTTAAAAATTCTCAGTGTTTTGATTTTTTGCTAATTTTTAAATATTGATTATACAAATATTTAAGGGTAAACATATGGGGTGACAAAGTGTGTCCAATTTAATATATGCTATGAAATTAAAGCGAGACCACCAGAATATTCTCTCTTCCCTAAAAACAACTCCACTTTCCAAGACCTAATAATTCTAGTAACATGCAACAAAGTAAAATTGCAGAAATTTTTAAATTACAAAAAAGGCGAAAATTAATTAACTCAAGAAATAATAATGTTTTATAAAATACTTGCAGCAGAATTCTTAGAAAATATTAAGTAAACAATATATATTTTTCATCGATCTATATGCAATCAACATGATTTTGTTTTTATATATAAAACTTCTGCTTGTCAATGACATTGTTTCAGACTGTTGAGTGTGAAGTTTTAAACACGGAGGAAGGTTGTAAATACTACGAGCAAATGAGGTTTGAGGGCATTTGGTACAAGCTTGGCGATCACGTTTTCCTGCGCTCGGATCAACTTCGGCCGTTTATCGCAAGGATCGACAAAATGTGGTTGGATGCCAAGTAAGTTTTTCGCAATTCAGTTGGGTTGATGAATTCAACTGAAAGCCAAGGTTTTATGTTTTATTTTTCTGTAGTGAAAGGTAAATTCTGTATAACATGTGATTTTTATGAGACATCCCAAAACTAACATTAGTGACCAAAATGAGAAAATTCATATTGATATTCTCCACATTATAAGATTTTAAATGATGGGCCATTTACTGGAATCATCTTACTATTGCCAAATTATAAGTAGAAGTATTACAGACAGTACTTCAACATTATTATGCTAATTAGTCAGTTTAATACATACAGTAATTAATACAGTAGGTTAATTACTGGAAGTACTTATTGCAAAAGTTATGGTTATTGTAAAAGTATTTACAGCTTCTCTGTACTAAAGTATACAATATTAGTTATTTTCAGACGACTTTCCGTCTTATGTAAAGTTACGAAGAATGTAAAATTTTACGCGCGCATTACTTCTGATGAGTGTCCACACGATGTTTTTCCGGGACAACTAGTTTAAAGCATAGAAGTAACTATGCAAACTTTCGGGAAGTGATAGTCACCACTTCGCTCTCTCTTAACGGTTATTTTGCACATATTTGTTTTGAAATTGTAAACAATTATAAAAAACATCATGTCAACAAAGGCTTACACATCACAGGAAATTTTATTTTGGCACTCATTTGTAAGTATTTATCTTTTGAAAATAATTGAGGTCAAAATAAAGGACGCATTTACTTGTGAGCTCTGAAGTAAGTGCGTCTACACAGCGCTACTCTGAGCGTGAATTCCTTATCTTCCTTGTGTACGCGGAAGGAGCACACCTACTCCTGAGACTGCTCAGGAGTAAATCGTTTGTAGTAAGGTTGAAGTAACTTAAATACAAATAGCGTCATCGCAGGCACTACCCAGGGCTTACGACAAGTAAACTGCTACTTCAAAGCTTACTTCTGAATTGCCTGAACGTGCCTACTGCCACATTCTTATGCAAATTACTCAGTTTAACATTTTAGTGACAGTACGCTAGTTTTGGGATGGCAGGCCTCATATGTCGATTATTCTATATTAATTATTATTTTATGTTGTTGACCCGCCCCCTTGACTATTATTCCTTCCTACGCACAGTTTTAGCCCAAACCATTGTCATTTTTCATATGTTATGGTTTGTTTAATTTGATAACTTGTGCAAGAGCAACCATCCTACTGTAGGACTGTCTGCTGTATTCTGCAGCTTATAGTTTCTCACGTAGGCAGACAATAATATGTAACCATAGTAACACCAACACTTACAAATTTTACACAGTTTTTTTTTCACAAAATTTATAAAACACTTCACTGTAGTACTTGCTAGTTCAGGCAAGTGAGTATAGGAAACACAGACAATGGTGGAATACTTGCATCACTTTAAATACAACCTGGTCTTTTACATTAAAGCAAACTATCCATTTTTCTTTGATCAAAAAACTGAGTGTGCACATATATAGTCATAATGTGCCTATATATGGTCATGATGTGATGTCATCATGACCATATTTAGACATACATGTTTTTGGTCATTTACATTATAGCCCTGTCCACACTATCAAATTTTCTTTGACAAAAAACTGTTGTATGCTCATATATAGTCATGGTGTGCCTATATATGGTCATGATGTGCCTATATATGGTCATGATGTGATGTCATTGTCAAATAAAATTTGATAGTCTGGGCTCTAGGTGAACTAAAGAAATACTCATACAGTATTATGTTACCATATAGTGTGATGCCTACTTGTTGGTCATATTTGGTAGTGTTGAATGCTTGTGGAATACATATATTCATTATTCTTTAAGTGTCCCTGTATTTATTCATTATTGATCTTTGGTTTTAGATGTATTTAAATTTGGTTTTAAAATTGTTTTTCTCATACTTTAGTGAAGATCCTTGGTTCCACGGTCCCTGGTTTGTGCACCCGTCCGAGACGGAACATCCACCTACTCGGATGTTTTATAAGAATGAAGTTTTCCTCAGTTCAATTGAAGATACGAACCCTATGAGAAGCATCAGTGGAAAATGCGCAGTGTTGGGTCACAAGGATTATATCTCATGTAAGTAGAAATAGTAGGAGGATTGGATTAGATTTGATAGCTTTGGTGTGATACACGCCAAGAATAACCCATGAAAGACCTGAGACTTAATTCAAGTGGGGTCCATCTGATAGTGAATTGGGCAGTACACTGGGAAACAATCCCTTACTCTTTTTCGAAGAGTGTACTGCGTTCTTTAGTGTGCATAGTGGCCATTTTACACACAAGACCAACGGCTTTAACATCTCATCCGAAAGACGGTGCGCTTTTGGAAACTTGCATTTCAGCCCTCCAGCTGAAACACAAGGAGAGCAGTAATGGAAATTAAACCGGGGACCAAGAAATTTTTGCTGTTCAGCGCACACACAGTGGCCAGTGGCTACTTCTTTTTTTTTTTCTTTTTTTTTTTTTTTGCAAATTGTGATTTAAATTTTTATTGAATTTTAACTGTTCCCCCGTAAAGGTCGTCCAACTGAAATAGCCGAGGAGCATGTGTTCATTTGTGAATCGCAGTACAAGGAAGCAGAGAAACAGATCCGAAAGATCAAACACCTAAAGAGGTTCACCTCCCTCTCCAACAAAGTTATTGACGATGAGATTTACTTTTTCAAGAAACCGATCACGCCTCTCAAGGAACCGTCCCCGCTACTGAAAGCCCAAGAGGATGAGGAGGAAGAGGATAATGATGATGGAGAAATTGAAGATGGAGAGTCGCACATGGGGGAAAGTGATACAGGCGTCGATTCTGAAAGTATCACTTCAACCCCAAGAGCAAAGACAGTAAGACCCTATTGCATTTTATCATTCAGTATTCTCTTGTTAATCCAGTGGCGGCGTCAGAAATCCTTTGACAAGAGTTTCAAAATCCTGACAGGGGGCCAACAACAACCTCAGCCTCATTATGTTTATGGCTGAGGTGAACAGATTTTATGCATTGGCACCAAGATGGTAAAAATGCTTTTCAAAGCAGTGTTCCCGGAAGAAATCGCTTTACTACTTCTTCTGACAAGTACTCTGGGTTTTCTAACAGGGGTCCTGTTTCCCCTTCTTGGACCCCTGCTGACACCACTGCTGTGTTTATTTATAATTAGATTTAGAGTGAATATATATTGCTTATGTATGTGCTTATATTATATTAGTCCACACTAGCATATCGATATTATCTTATTGCTGGCTTACATAATTTTATACAAATTGTATAATTTTGAGGGCATAATTTTGAGAATTAATTGGTAGTGGGATTAAAAAGCATTCTAGAAAGTTTTTTAAGTTGTGCATAACATCATATGGAATTGCAAATAGGCCTGTTGGGATTGGGCAGATGTAAAATCATTAATTTCATTTGTCTGGGTTTGACATAGGTGCATTTGTTGACATGTAAACTAATTGATGTACCTGGACTTAAAATGTCTCTTGAATTCATGTATGGTGCTATATCTATGTTTAATAAACGTGTGATACCACACGGAATGAAAGAACAGTTATGTTGGTGTTTGGGTAGATGGTGCAAAAATTGATATTGTGGAAACTAAAATACTGTATTAACTTAGTTTATGATTAACAATAGACACAATTTGATCTACTTAGGTGCACTTCTTTTAGGGTAGCGCCCTCTTCTGGGAGTCTACCCGCACCAAGCTTTACCTAATGCTGTGTAAATTTATTGCTACTAACATCCACAAAAGTGAGATAGTATGAGTTGATGAGAGGATAAGGTGGTAGAGGGAGTGAGATGATAAGGTAGAGAGAGAGAGAATATACAATGTGATTGCTTGAGTAATAAAATGCCACTCTACACTGGATTTGAAATTAGTTTTTAGATATAAATAGTCCAAATGTTCCCCAAATATTAAAGAGATATTGATTGAAGAGTGGATCTGCCTGTGTGCTCCAAGTAATATAAAATGTAAAAACAGTGAGAAGACCATTTACAATCATTGAAGGTTGACTTGCGGAACAAAAATTTACTAAAATATAATAAAACAGATATTTTGATAGTTTCTGCTATCTTTATCAACCTTATTTATTGCATATATATCCATTTTCTATCTTTAAAAGTCATCCATGTTGGGTGATGGGCATGTTTTTAGAATCTCTGATTCCGCTATAAGATGCTAAAGGCCAACTCAGACAGCGTCGGCCGACGCAGCCCGACCCGATTTATCGTCGGGGACAGTCTTAAGCCGTCGTGAGAAATATTAAACTCGTTTAATATTCTACTATGCGACTGCCCCCGACGCACACCATCGCGTCTGCGTTCAACTCACACAGACCCAACGCGACAACAAATCGCGTCAGCCTGTGTCGGCCGATGCTATCTGAGTTGGCCTTAAGACTTTTAAAAATCTACTATTTGCAATCACTAAAGTGTGGTGAGCCTGCAGTACCTGTATGAATATTTGCGTGCATTTGTTTGAAAAATCTTATTTCAACTCTTATTTTTTTTTTCACTAACATGGGTAGCACTTTTCTTTTACCTGCCTTTTCTCAGAAATCTCGCCACGCAAGTGGTTTTATTTTGTTTGCAAGCGAAAACCGACCAGGTGTCAGAATAGCCAATCCCAAGTGGTCTTTTGGGGAGATCAGTCGTGATATAGGCCTGAAGGTAAAGAACCATCGACCTTTGTATTTTATTTCTATGCTGTGTTACTAAATTATTAGTCAATTTGTTGATTCAATTTTGCTTTCATCTGATTATTCTGACCAGCAAACTTTAGATTTTATATTTTCACATGTCTCAAATTATCATAATTCTTTTAATGTGATATTTTGAAACATGTTATTCTTACTGTATATATTAATTAATAATCACAATTAATTAATATTTTATTTTTAAGATTGTGTTATTGAACAAGGAAAACTATTTTGTTTGTATTTAATTATGAATTTGTTTTTAATAATATTTTGTTATCATTCATTCTTTAATGTGGTGAAAGGATAACTAATCAGTATGAATTTTAACAACTTTTTTCAATCATCTTTGCCAATGCTTATATTAATTATTTAAACAATGGGATCTGAGGTCAAAGGTTAAGGAATGTTAAGTTCAAGGATTTCTTGTCCATAATGTTTAAAATCTGTTGATATTTTATCTAGCCAGTAGCGTTAAATATTATTACCATTATCTATTATTTTGTTTATAATAGTTTTGTAGTAACTTATCTTAAATTTGCTATACATGCTTAAATAAACTAATTGCTGTGTTGACAATGCAGAAAAAAATATAATAAACACTAATATATTTTAATATTTTCAATAATATTGGTGATGTTTACGTGCCTATTTTAGTGGCGAAATCTAACGCCAGAACAGAAGGCAACGTATGAGGAGAGAGCATCAGAGTGGGCCGAGGCTCGGGCTGCTGAAAAAGAAGCCAACATTCCTCTACCGTCAGCTGGTTCCGTTTGTATTTACGAGTGCCTCTGGGAAGGCTGTGACCATCAGTACGAGGACCGCATGGATCTACAAACGCACACAATAGAATTGTCTGGACATATTAAAAACACTGGTGAGAATGGTAAGTTGTAAAAATGTCAAGCGATTATTGAAGTGAACTGTTACCTTGTACCTGAAGGCATTCCTTATCAATCAATTCCATTTATTTCAGGCAATGTCCATATCAAATTACAAATAAGATTAAGAATATACCTGCTACAAATTAGAAATAGAAATAAAGAAATCAGCTTACATCATTAGCTAAGCTATTTTCTGTCTATTTCTGACTATTTTTCCAGCTAAAATTGCCATTGTATTCTAAATTTACCACAAATATAAAGCCATTAAGTTTGTGTCATATGTTCATCATACAAATATGAAAAGGAGAAATAATAACAAGTGGCATATTAATTAATAATCATATATTTGTTTTATCGTGTCTCTTCACAGGCGAGAAGCAATTTGCATGCAAGTGGAAAAATTGCCCAAGATATAAGAAAAATCAGTAAGTATTGTGGTGGAAGGGGTGATAAGAGGGGAGAAGTGGGGTTAAATATGTAATAATGTAGTATATATCAGTGGCAGGTCTAGGAATTAAAAGTAGATGGGGGCCTGGGGAGTGACTTTCACAGACGGAGAGTGTATAAAAAGAAATTATGTTTATGATACCTCTAGATGGCCGGAAATGACACTCTTGGACTGAAATTTGAATATAGTTTCTTTTTTTCTACATTTTTTTTTTATCATTTTGAAAACATTTTTCAATCATTTCTGCTAATTAACAGTTTGCTTGTTCTACACTGATTCCATGTTTTTTTCCCCTCTTCAGACCTTTCCCTGTGATGGGACGTCTAATCCGTCACTGCAAGGAAGTTCACATCCGGCATGCAGCCAAGTATGTTTTCCCCTCGCAGATCGGACGCAACTACTTCTCCTGTGAGAGTGTCCAGAACGGCTTGAACAATATTCCTCCTGGACAGAATGCAGTAATGGGCATCGTGGGTCCGCCCACACCAGTAGGTATGGCAGCCCGTCAGATCTACCCCAGCCTTAACCCAGCGTTACAAGGTGAACACGCAATCAGATTGAGTAGTAGACTCCAGCTTCGCCACCTAGTCATTCCACTCTTCAGCTTTGTTGATCTGCTTCTTGTAGACATAGCAATCTTCTCGGAGCATCTCTGAAAATTAGTTTCATACGATTTTAGCGAGTAGCTTTGCAGTCTGAGCTTAACAGCATTATTTTTAGATTTTAAGCAAATTTTATTACTTTGAAACTAATGAAGTTTTAATCAATAAGTGTATTCATCGTCACCATTATCAATGCAATCATGGACATTTGTTGTTCTTTAATTTTTAACTTTACTATTCTTGATTTCATCATCATACCATTATTTTATCCTAATCCTGTGCATTGCAAAATTATATGGACTGATGCGACGTGATGAGTGAAGTTTTATAGCCAGGTGGTTAAGAAGCTTGTCTTTCCAATTCCATGGTTCCATTCCTGTTATGGCAACAAAATGTTTCTCACGATGTTTGGCATATTTTTGGCCTTTGTGCCTAAAGCTGATAGAATAAAAAAATTAAAAAATCTAGATGACGAGTATACATTCCATATAATTACTACACGCTAGTGCCAAGAGCTTTCGGTGATGCTGATTGGTTGGTCTAATCTTGGAGCTTTCCTGATTGCGTCGGGAACGGCTTTAAATATTATCATCAACATCATCTTTTATCATCGTCTCTAGCATTCTGATAATATAATCACTATTTTAAACATAAATGCATGTTTTTTCGATAGTGCAGCTAATGTCTCTGCTGCCCTCGTTAGTCTACATTCAGTTATTCTCTGTTCCATCATCTTGTGCTCATTTCTTTATTTCATGTTATTATTCCACTAATCAGTATTTAATTTTAGTTAGATTAAACTATAAATAATAATCTTTTACAGTACTATAATGCACAAAGGAAAAAATCACATTTACAGACAACCCTAAACAAAGCAATATTGTAACAAAAATAAAATACAAGAAAAACATTTATAAAAATAATTTTTAAAACACCATGAAATATTTATTTAAAAATTATTCCTAACATTTTCATTTACATTAATAAATTACAAAATTGTGATTCATATTTTTTAAATATAATTTATTTAGATATTTATTTTAAAATTGTTGCAGGTCAAATGCAAGGCTATCCTCAACAAGGCATGACAGCACAGTGGCACCAAACCCCCGGGGGACAGTGGCAGCAACAGATGCCACAGCAGCAGCAACCTGGCCAGTTCATGTCACCAGGTCAAGTGCCACAGCAGTATCCCATGAATATGATGCCACAAGGCATGGTACCACAACCAGGACAGATGATGCCACAAGGTAGCAACTTTACATAGCTTCAATTTTTTAAATTGATTTTTATTTTATATATAGTTATTAAAATTGTACATAAAATGTGGAAAGTTTGCATCCCTATTTATACAGAAGCTCCCTATTTATACAGAAGAGTCAGATGTTAAGTTATTAACAACAATAGGGTCAGAGGCTAAAATGTTAACTTTCCCAATCAAATCATCATTATTATGATTTTTTTCACAACTTTATTATTACTATCTTAATGATATATTATTATGTTATTGTTGTTGTTATTATTATATATTATTATTATTATTATTATATTATTTTTGTTGCTTCTGCAGTTATTGTTATTTTTCTTGATTTTGTTATTATTACTATTGTTGTTTGTTATATTATTGTTATTGTCATTGTTGTTAATACTGTAATAATATTGTTATAACTCTTGTTATTTTTTATTGTTATTGTTTTTATTGTATTATCTTGTTTTAATGAGATAGTGTACCTTTGAAGCATTAATTGTATAAAATGTTTTATGTTCCTCATTTTTAATGTTTAAAAAACAGAATAGTTTAATGACCTTTGACCTGACCAAGATGAAAGATGTACTGTCCATTGCTTGTACATTATGTAATACCCACAATAGCATGATGTGTATATGAAACGCCAATGCATGATATTTACTTCTAATATAGGTATGATGCCATACGACCAGTCTCCAATGATGATGCCTCCTCATCCGCATCCTGGACATCCCCCTCCTCTACTTCATCATCCTCCACCTCCTCCTCCTCAAATGCTAGGCCCTCAGCCTGTACAACCGCAACAACAACAACAACCTTATCAAGGTGTAAAATCAATTTAAAATCTTATTTTTTTTTGCTTTATCTCTTATTTTAATAATCACTTTCATTCCTTTTCGCCACCAATTTCATTTCTTTAATATATATGATTTTGACATAAATATTTTTTTATTATTTTTATTCACTTTTGTCTCACTTTTTACATCTTAATTTTCACTTCACTTTTTAAAAATAAAATGCTTTATAACTTTTATTTTTAAAAACTTAATTGTTAATTCTTATTATTTTTTTCTAATTTTCACTTCATTTATTTATTCATTTGTATATGGGAATTATGTCCATAATACTGCAGTGGATCTATTTACATCACTGTAACAACACACTTTGAAATGATAAGTTCATTATTAAATATTATATTTCTGTTAAAACAATACAAGCAAAACATTTTCCAGCAAATAGCCAAAGAGCAACCCTGTTCACTGCCTAAAAACTATCATTGACAGTGACAAATTACTATATCTAGTGTTTATACAAAAAAAAAATTCTCATCTCATAATCTTCAATAGTTGCTTTTCATTTTTCCAGCATCCTATGAGAATGTGTTAACCCAATATATAATTCAGCATATTTAAATTTAATTTATGTTTTGTTCAATTTTTTTTTGTCGCCGCATATTGAACATAATTTTTGTTACCCCATATTGAGCATCATTTTTGTTGAAAATTATAAATTATACAAATAGCCAAAATATTACTCAAATTGTGTTCCCTTCATTAAACTTTCTGGTTCTCAGCCTTTCATATATTAGTTGAATTTGCTCATTTAACGTCATTCCATTTTTTTTTACATGTATGTAGCAATATCATTCACACTTTTGCATGTAAAAGAAAAGACAGCAGCATTTTTAAGACTAACTTGTTTAAAATTTAATCTCTTAGAATTTTTGCATGTACATAATTTGCTTACTTGTTTTTGCTTGGGCTCTATAATTTGTTTACTATTACTTTTCAGCAGGGAAAATACTTTTTTGGGATTTGAAATTGCTTCGGTGACTTGTTCATTTCCACTCAAGCACTCAGTTTCTTCTTTCTTTCTTTTTTTTTTTTACAATGCTTTATCACTTAGCTGCTTCTTTTTGTTGACTATATTGATAATTTTTATTCATTTTGTATGATTTAAATTTGTTTCTTAACTTTGGAATTGAAAATCGTTTAAGAAAGCATGAAAATTTGATTGGTTACTGTAATTTTACAGAGTGGACTTCTAATTAAATATTCCTTCCTGAGTTGAAATCTGGAAATTTCAGAATTTTTTGCATGCCTTGAGCTCTAACAATGTCATGTGGTTTCTATAATATATAAAATTGGAACAATTTTACGCAAAAATTAACTTTCATAAAACATGCCGTAAGCCCAGCCCTGTCCAGACTATCAAATTATATTTGACATGTGACATGCCTAAATATGGTCATGATGACATCACATCATGACCATATATAGGCACATCATGACTATATATGGGCATACAACAGTTTTTTGTCAAATAAAGCTTGATAATGACAGAGTTTAAATATATACTGTCTGCATTGAACCATTAAACTTATATCATTTGACATGAAAGATAAAAAATAAGCTTATATCATTTATATCGCTTACTTTCTATATTTAATAAATCTGTGTTTAATGAACCGTTAAGCCCCGCCCCCATGGATATTGTTGTTCACATGTGTGTCAGCAACAAGCGCATTCTCTCAGCCTTGTTCCGAATGGTCAGTTCTAATTTTGATTGACACACTCTGTAATTCTGTTACCAGATTTAAATTGAAAATCAGCAAGAAAATATTTTCCTTGCCTAGTAACAGATACAAAATAGTACCTTTGCAATATATAGTGCACCCTCCAATTGGAGACCCCTTCCAATTAGAGACACCTCTAATTTGAGACCACTTTTTCAAAGAACCAAGTAACAAACCTTCAATCTTTTTTACACAAAGCAGACCCCCCCCCCCCAGTTAGAGACCATATTCCAAGACCACCCTAAATTTTCAAGCCCCAGAGATGGTCTCGAATTGAAGGGCAAACTGTATATCCTTAACTTGTCTGGTAATCAATTTCGAAATTTTGTAATTCAAATTTGGTAAATTAGCAAAAAAAATTTTTTCAATCTTTATAATATTTGAAATTTTTAACTTATTTGGTTGTTTTAAATTAACAATTAATGTTGTAGTGAAATACTTGAGAGTTTTAACAGGTTTTAATACAGACAGTATATCTTGGCAAGTTGGCTTATTTTTTTCTTTAGATTACATTGTAAAAAAAATTGTCATCAGCTGTGTTAGATGTGCCACTTGGAAATCAAAATTTTAATAATACTCCAGTACCATAAATAAAAGTTAAATCTATTGATATTGGGTTTTTTTTGGTTTTTTTTTCATTTTGATTGTATTTTACCATGCTTCTCTTTCCTAGGTGTTCCAATGAACCAGGCCAATGTACAACCTCAGGCACCACCTCAGCCATTATTTGTTGCCCCACCCCCTAAAACTCAACGATTATTGCATTCCGAGGCCTACATTCGGTAAGGTTATATCACTTTTGTTTACCATGAAGGGGAGTTTTTATAATAACTAATTAACTTTACTATTTACACATACTTCTTGAAATAAATATTGAACATCTTCAAATACATTGAATTTAATTTGTCATGTTTTTCATAAGGAAGATACCTACTTTGTTGGAAAGTCCCTCGATGCAAGATTGTATGTTGGGTGAAACAAAAGAGGGCGCTATATCTCTATACTGTATACTGTCTTCTATAATAACTATTTTAACACGTTGACTGCCAGACCTTTTTTTAAGGTTCCTTCCTGTGTGCCAAAACAAGTTTGCATGTATAAACATGCTTTTTTAAAATTTTATCTAGTCATACATCTAATATTGATGTCTAATAAATTGGCAGGAAAATATTATGGGACGAGTAAACTCATCGACGGCACTGCGAAAGCACTTTTTATTGACTATGCCTTGTACGCTTTTTGCATGGGTTGGGCGCCCCCACTTGAGCCGCTCGAGTGTACTACCGGCAACATAACACAACAAACATACGTATGTTATTTGTACGTTATAGTCTAGGTGTATATTCCCTGAACTACCAGCCGTTGAATTTGTGGTTCTACAATCTATGACAAAGAAGTTATAAATGCTAGAATGTTACCCCTATTTTGAGAAGGATACTCGTCCCTGGCACCCTCAGCAACACCCTGTGAGCGAGTATATACGTTGCTGATAGCCAACGTGTTAATGAATGTCGAAATCCTTTTCTGACATCTTTAGATACATTGAAGGACTAACCCCACAGAAAACAAGTGTTGGAGACTGGGAAAGGAATCTTTATATTCGACCCGAACACCTGCCACCAGTTTCAGACCAGAGAGTGCGCAATGTTGGACAGTGGCTCGAAAATAAACCAGCAGATGGTGATATCACCAAAGCACTGTGGAAACTGCGCGACTATATGTTGAATGATGCTTTGAGGATCGACCGTGCTTACGAATTGTAAGAATTTATTATAGATAATTATTTGTGACCCAAGATCGTAAAAGGGCTGTAAAATCGCACCGTGCTGTTTTGAGAAAGCCCCAAAAGCCAGAATAGGTGGTAGAATGTGAATTTTGTGTAAATTGAATTTTAGTGCAATAAATAAAGTATAACTATTAATCTTACTATTCCTAAAGTTGTAAAAAGTAAAACTTACTCATTTTCGGATGGGAGTTAGTGAAAAATGAATAGAAACCTGCCAAAAATAAAGGCATTTTTCTCAAAACTTGATTTAAGAAAGTTGATAAGATGATAATTATTCAAACGGTCATAACTTTCCCCCTTTTCCCCAAGTTTCTAAATAACAGATCTCCCTCGAATTAAACACCACCTCTAATTAAAGACCACTTTTCTGTGGTCCCAAATTAACAGATGTTTTTGGTCCCAAAAGTGGATTGGAGGGAGATGTGTATTCAAAAATCTGTATCTCATGTACTATTCCTGAGTTTTTGTCGAACACCCTTTTTGTGTCTTAGAAAAATAGTTTTACAATATAATATATCAATATTTTTTTGTTGCACCAGAGTCTGGCATAAAGTATACCGTGTTCTGTAATGAATAAACCTACATGCGTTTGTTATTTATTGCCTTTTTTTTTTGTTATTTTCCAGTGAAGAAGATGAACCAAAACATAGAGATGATGACATCATAATTGAGGTGCAGCGGTGACCTGACAGATACAACATCTAAAAAATAATAAATTATTGTGTATAAATGTGTTTGTTTCAGTGTTAACATGTTTACTAGATATTTAAAATTGTGGCCAGCTTTTTGTACTTGTTTTGGGACAGTAGGACAGTATAGGTGTTCTGTCATATTCCACTTTTGTAAATTTAACTCTGTACACTCTTTATGACAAATCCTTGTGATTTGCCCATATAAGTACATGATATGACATCATCATGCCCATGTATGCATGTGATGTGACATCATCATGCCCATGTATGCATGTGATGTGACATCATCATACCCATGTATGCATGTGATATGACATCATCATGCCCATATATAGATGTGATATGACATCATCATGCCCATGTATGCCTGTGATATGACATCATCATGTCCATGTATGCATCTGATGTGACATCATCATGCCCATATATGCATGTTATATGACATCATCATGCCCATGTATGCATCTGATATGACATCATCATGCCCATATAGATGTGATATGACATCATCATGCCCATGTATGCATCTGATATG